TTCATAAGGTATAATTTTGATAGATGACTGCAGATTTTCCTGTAGTTTGTCAAATTAATAAAGACCATACGACTTCCCCAAAAAAGTTATAAATGGAACTAATGAGCTGTTCAATAAAATACAGCCTAGGGAATTCCCTGGCAGTCCATTGGTTAAGGTTCCAAGCTTTTACTGCTGCGGGCCTGGGTTTGATCCCTGGTGAGGGAACTACGATCCCACAGACTGCATGGCCTGGCCCCAAACAGCCAAACAAACCAAACATACAGCCTATTGTGCCACCTTGACAAATAAACACCTTAACGATGACCTGGGGGCCACATTTAGATTTCTGAGCCTTTGTAACTCTGCACTAGAAGGTCATAGAATGGGAAAAGGCAAGGCCCTAGCCCCACCCCTCTTTTCATACCCCTAAATATGTTTCCCTGCAAGGGGGCTTGAGCATAGATGTGCAGGTGTCCTAATCTGCATGCTCACTCACATTCTATGGTAGGGTTTCTAAATTGAAAAGGTCCATCAGGTATCCAGCACAGTGAATGATGAAAGAGCCACAGCATCACATCAGAATACTAGGGACCAAGAGAAGATCTTAAAAGCTTCCAGGGAGGAAATGCGGGAAATACAAAGAATCAGAATGACACTGTATTTCCCAAAGCTAGGAGAAAACAGAATAATAGCTTCAAAATCTTAAGATTCCATCCTCATCCAAATTATCAATTAAATATAAGGGAAGTTTACAGACATTTTCAGGGGGTCACTTCCTATATATGGTAACGTGGTAGCCACCTACAAGAGGGCCTCTAATAGGTTCTACCTCTTGGTATTCACACCCTTATGGTGTTTCCTCCCACATGAAATATGGCTGACCTATGGAATCATGGAATACTGCAGAATGAACAATATGTGATTTCTAAGGTGAGGTCATAAAAGACACTGTATTTTCTATTTTTCCCTCTCTTGGATCTCTTGCTGTGGTGAAAGCCAGCCACCATGTCTGGAGGACACTCAAGCAGTCCTATGGAGTGGTCCATAGGAAGAACTGAGGTTTTGTGCCAACAGCCTGCACCAACTGGCCAGCCATGCGCACCATCTTGGAAGTGTATCCTCCAGTCCCGGCCAAGCCTTCAGAAGACTTGAATTTCATGAGAGAAGAGACAGACCCCCTCCCCACAACAAGCAAAGCCATTCCCAAGTTCCTGACTTGCAGAAATTGTGAGATGGAGGTTAGTTGTTGCCTTAAGATTAAATTTGGCAGTGATTTGTTACATAACAAAAGGTGAACAGGAGTATACTGGGGGCAGAGGAGGAGGGCGCCACAGTATTTTGCAGTTCTTCCAATTAAAAGGCAAAGTCTATATCTCAACTCATGAATTTGGATTTGGCCAATAAAACTTGTTTTTGCTGATGGAACATTAACAAAAAGGATAGAAGCCAGAGGTTATTGAATGCTTGTGTAATTGGCTCTTTCCTCCTGTGCTCCTGGAATTCAGTAACTGCAGCAATGTAAGTGAGCTCAGGTAGCCTGCTGGAGACCCCTGGCCATCACCTCCGCTAATAGCTCATGTCAACAAGAGATGTGAGTGAGGCCATTCTGAACTAATCAGCCCAGCCAACTTGCCCAGAAAACAACTGGGCTGGTGATCTGCAGAACTATGAGAAACAGTAAATGTTGTTGTTTAAAGCTTTTAGGTTTGGGGATGATTTGTTACACAGTATAAGCTAATTGATACAACATGTTTGCTTTACGTATACCTTTTTGTTTCAGGAAACCAAAGGAGGCTCAAAGCCTAGTTTCTTCTCAAATTTATCTGATCTTGGGCAAATTAATTCATCTCTTTCAGCCTCAATTTTCCTCACCTTCAAACTGGAGAAAATACTGGGCAACACTCCCTATCTCTTAAAGATCATGTGACAAATAATTAAGATGAACCACATGAACTACCCTGGTCACTCAGCTGGTAAAGAATCTGCCTGCAATGTGGGAGACCTGGGTTCGATTCCTGGGTTGGGAAGATCCCCAGGAGAAGGGAAAGGCTACCTACTCTAGTATTCTGGCCTGAAGAATCCCATAGACTGTAGAGTCTATGGGGTCGCAAACAGTCAGACATGACAGACTGACTTTCATTTCACATGAACTACATGGGCTTCCCAGGGGGCGCTAGTGGTAAAGAACCCAATATTCACTGGAATGATTGATGCTGAAGCTGAAGCTCCAATACTTTGGCCACCTGATTCAAAGAGCTGATTCCTTGGAAAAGACCTTGATGCTGAGAAAGATTAAAGGCATGAGGAGAAGTGGACAACAGAGGATGAGATGGTTGGATGGCATCACCGACTCAATAGACATGAGTTTGAACAAACTCAGGGAGATGGTGAAGGACAGGGAAGCCTGGCGTGCGGTCCACAGGGTCACAAACAGTCGGGCACGACTGAGCAACTGAACAGCAGCAGCAGCCAAGGCAGGAGATGGAGGAGACCCGGGTTTGATCCCTAGATTGGGAAGATCCCCTGGAAGAGGGCATGGCAACCCACTCCAGTATTCTTGCCTGGAGAATCCCCACGGACAGAGGAGCCTGGTGGGTTACAGTCTATGAAGTCACAAAGTGTTGGACATGAGTGAAGCAACTTGACACACACGCATACAAACTACGTAATGTGCTTAGCATGGCACAGGGTGCATGATAAATCAGTAAAGGATGACAATGATGCAAATGACAGGAAAGAAGACAAAAATGGGTAGAAGGGCAGGGTAAGGCCTGGGTTAGTCCTGCAGTGGGACACAGTCTTTCCAAAGAAGGACTACTGAGTGTATCATTCAGTTAAACAAGTATTTGCTAAGTGTTTAGCACATGCTGGGCCCCATCCCAGAAACTGTAGTATAAAAGCAGGAATAGGTCATGACATTGAGTTATCTGAATCAGAATCAAGCTTGCCTTCACAAAGAATTGAACTAGGACATCAAAATATTTCTGAATGGAACTTGAGGAGATGGATATTTGGTGGCTGCCCTCAGTCTCGTCTGGATACTTCAGAGCCAGAAGTGAAGGGCAGGGGATATTCACAGGATCCCTTAACTCTCCCTGCATCCTATCTTTCCCCATCTCCACCAAGGAATAAGAATGCATTTCACCCCAAAACCAGAATTACTCCAGCTCTAAACAGCGTTTTCCACTCTTGATTTCAACCTGAAACAGAGCAGGACTACAGTCCTTGTCCCCCTGTCATGTCCTCAGCCTGCCTTTTGTCTGTGGAAGAAAACTTTAGCCAAAGAATAAGTTTAATCAGAGAAGTGAGAAAATGCAGAAACATAGAACAGTCAAAGGAGACCAAATAATAATAACGTAGTCATGAAGCATACTCAAGGACCCTTACTTCCTTCTCAAGAGCTATAGATAATATTCTGAGCCATATCCTGTGAACTGTCTTATAGATACTGAAACCCCCACCAGGTGGAAGAAGTTGACTACACAATGTCATGACACAAGTGGCCATAATTCCAAGAACTGGCCTTAAGAAATGCAAACAAACTGACCTTGGAACTGAAAATTAACTGTACCTAAAACAATCAAGATGACACTGGTTGGACCACCAATGACCAATTTGAAGATGACTGTCAGAGCTGACTGTGCTGTTTCTGCATGTAGCCCCCTCCCTCAGTCTAGAAAAACTCTTGCCCTTTGACTGTCAGGGAAGCTGGGGAGTCAGCCTTTGGATAGGCATTTGCTAAAACCCAGCACCTTCCATTTCAGGCATCCAAAATAAAGCAAACTTCCCTTTCCACCAACCTATATAATGACTTCTGAGCAGCAATCAGCCGGACCTGGGTTCAGTAACAAACCCACAAGATGAAGAACATTTTAACTTGCACCTGAGTATACAAATCTGAAGCTGAAACAAAAGTTCCATAAATTTATACTAAAATGTGTAATACATTCTGAGTTTTTAATTCTATTCTATTTAGTTTTTTAAATGCTGGTCACAATCCTCCTAAATGGATTTTAGGACATTAATGGGTCATAACTAGCAGTTTGAAAAAACTGCTCTGAAATGTCATATCGGGAGGGGACTTAAAGGTCATCTAGCCCAATCCTTTTACTTCACAGGGGGTAAACTGATACTCAGAGAGGTTAAATTAATTGCCCCAGGCCCCACAGCTAGTAAGCATGGATGTGAACCAAGATTTGACCCGACTACTGAATTCTTACCATGTGTCAGCAACTGCGCTGGGTTCTTGAAGTGCAGTATTTCATTTAATGCTCACTGTGATCATATGAAACAGATATTACTATTGCCACTTTACAGATGAGGAACGAAGTCTCAGGATGGGGAATGTGACTTACTCAGGCTTTCACACAGTCAATAACAGACCCGGGACTTGTTTCAGATTCAGCTGTCCATAAAGCCTGTGGTCTCCAACACGAAGCCCACTGTGAGGAAAGTGATCATGTAGGTTCGACAGCTCTAAGCGCCTAAGCCTGTACATGTGAGGTAGTGATAACGTTGTGTTCCCTACTCTTCAGGGCCTTATCACTGCCATCACCAGCTCCTCCAAAAAACGCAGGTGGGTAAAACGAAAAGAACAGATTGTAGCCTAAGGAGGAGGATTCGAAACCCGGCCTCACCATTTACTCGGAACATCAGCGTAATCTCTCTTCCTTCCCCACACCCCCCCGCCCCCCCCCCACCCCAAGTTTCCACATCTGTGAAGCTGGGAGAGCAATAGCATCCATCTTCAGGACTGAGTCAACGTGAAATTCCCAGGCTTGGGAAGCGCTTTAAGCGAACGTCCGCCCCCTCCGAGCCCCGCCCTCTCCGAGCCCCGCCCTCTCCGAGCCCCGCCCTCTCCGAGCCCCGCCCTCTTTTACCCTTGCGCAAGCGCCACACAGGGGGCGCCTTTTACGACGCGGCGGCAGCGGCGCGCTTGGCGGCCAGAGCGAAAAGAGCGAGTCGCGGGGAGCGCCGGCGCCGGCGGCTGCAGGGGACGCGCGGGCGGTGGCGTCGCCATGTCGCACGGCCACAGCCACGGCGGGGGCGGCTGCCGCTGCGCCGCCGAACGGGAGGAGCCGCCCGAGCAGCGCGGCCTGGCCTACGGCCTGTACCTGCGCATCGACCTGGAGCGGCTGCAGTGCCTCAACGAGAGCCGAGAGGGCAGCGGCCGCGGCGTCTTTAAGCCGTGGGAGGAGCGGACGGACCGTTCCAAGGTGGGCCTTCGGGGGCCTGGGTGGGCGGCTGAGGCGAGGCAGGGACCTGCGCGGGGGCTCAGGCCACCCGGCTGCTCTGTCAGCCTAGTTCCTGAAGTTAAAAATAACCGCGGCCCGATTGCCAGGCGCTTTCCCGTGCCCTTCCAGCTCTTTGAGAGGCGAACAGGGTTGAATCTCCCCATCTTGCAGGTCGGGGAACTGAGGCCCAGAGACGGGAAGGGGCGCTTTGCTTTTACACGGCCAGCATGCAGTTCCAGGGCTTAGGAAGGGGTTAGTGAGGGAGCGTGTCCACGAGGGCGTGTTCCCTACCGTTTGACCACTGGTCCCGATGGCTGCCTGATCAACTTAATCACCTGATGAAGACCAAAGACCAGTCTTTGGGAGATGAAGCATGTGATCCTATCTAGAGCATTTACCATTGTGGGGTTGCAGAGCCATTTGAAAGCTGTGGATCGCAGAGGTACAGATCTTTGCACACAATTTCAGGAGCCTATTCGGCCCTGGAATTTAGTATGTGCTGGAGAACAGAGGGAGGTTGACTATTTGCATTGCACGCCAGTTGTAAAACAGGGTGGAAGATGCCTGAAATTGTGGGCACTCAGCAAATATTTGTTGCTTTCTCCTTCTTCTCTCCTCCAGTTTGTTGAAAGTGATGCTGATGAAGAGCTTCTGTTTAATATTCCGTAAGTATCTCCTTGCCTCAGGTTAAATAGGCTGAACCCAGTTGCCTTATCAGGATTCATTCAGTGGTTATATCGAGAACACACATCTGTTTCTAGAAATGGGCTAAATTACTGAGGTGGGTGTGTGAGTAGGAAAGGATCAAAACTTTTCCTGGTGCAAAAAAAGACACACAAAAAAAACATAACTGAGAGGTCAAGGTAAATTTCTTAGAACCGCAGAATGCCAGAGGCAGACAGGATCTTAGAAATTATTTAGTACAAGTCTGACACGTGAGTAAACTGAAGCCCAGAAAGGGGAAGGGTCTTGCCCAGGGTCACACAGCTCAGCAGAGACTCAAACTCAGGTTGACAACCCTCTTTTTTTGCATTCTGGCAGATTTACAGGCAATGTCAAGCTAAAAGGCATCATTATAATGGGAGAAGATGATGACTCACACCCCTCTGAGATGAGACTGTAAGTGGCAAGGGTCTTGGCCCTCAAGAAGCTCCTGTCCCTTTTTTTCTGGTCTCTGATAGCACTTTATTCTAGATTGGCTAATTTTTTTCTTTTTACTGGGTTAAATATCCCCTCCTCCTCTTAAAAAAAAGTCATATATTTGTTCTGCATCAGAATACACTAATCTCTTCCTGAATTAACGACATTTTTAGATTAGGTATCTTTTGGACCAGCAGCTTGTCTGTCTTCACAGTACTTGTTGCGGCACCATTCATTCAGAGAGCATCCTCTAAATGCCAACTGTTGATGACTTTGCAATTTTCTTAATAACCCAGCTGCAGATCTCAAATTATCTTTAAGGACTCTACTCTTGGGGTTAGCTTCAACGTTTTCCCTTACTGTTTCAGACAATTACAATCTTTCTGTGTGTTTTGTTGAGATGGAATAACTCCATCTGAGTTTGCATAGGCTTTAGTTAGCAAAGTTCAATATATCTTTTGTAGCAGCTTCCCACGTGGCATAGTGGTAAAGAATCTGCCCTCCAGTGCAGCAGACACATTGGTTTAATCCCTGGGTTGGGAGGATCCCCCTAGAATAGGAAATGGCAACCCACTCCAGTATTCTTGCCTGGAAAATTCCATGGACAGAGGAGCCTGGTGGAATACAGTCCATGGCGTTGCGAAGAGTCAGACAGGACTGAGCAAATGAGGTATACACACACGTATACCTCGTTATAACACTGAATCGGTTGATACCAGAGCTAGTGCTCCCTTTCTGACAAATTGCCTTATTTCAGTGCAGCCTTTCTAGAAGAAGGGGGACACCACTTGTGCTGGAGAAACAGAAATCAGAACTTTACATAAAAAGTTCTTCTGAAAAATCGATCAATTTAAGTGAAAGATTTAAGAAATGAACCTTATTTTTGAATGTTAGAAACATGAATTGGAAAACAAACCCACATATTTAATGATTTTAAGGAAATGAAGTAGGTTTGAGTTGATGCTTTTTGAGACTTATTTACTTGGGAGATGGATTGGCTGGACTAGACTAGACATCCGTGCTGCATTCTGGTTAAGCGTGGGCTCTGGAATAAACTGGAGTTTAGATTCTGGCTGTACCACTTGCTAGCTGCTTGTCTTTGGGCAGTAAACTTTTCTATATCTCGATTTTTTCATATGTAAAATGGTAATAATAGACTGAACCTCTTAAGATTGTGGAGAAATGAGCTGTAACATATAAAGAGCTTAGAAGAAATCTGGAAGGTAGTATGTGCCCGGTTTTGTTTCTGGTGTATGTGTGGGGGTTATTTTGGGGGCTCCATTGCACAGCTTGTGGGATCTTAGATTGAACACAGGCCTTCAGCAGTGAAAGTGCAGAATCCTAACCACTGGACCACCAGGGAATTCCCTAGTATGTCCCCAGATAGCCCTCCATTCTAAGCACTTTGTACTTTATTAAATCTAAGATATCATTGATTATAAAATGCACCATTATTTTGTGAACCAATGATAAAGAAATACATAGCATCTGTTCAACTATGACATGTCATTGACCCATCTAGGAAAGTTAAATTGAGGCTTAAATCAGTGAAATTTGAACACAGACTAGTTGTTAGATGATATTAAAGAATTATTGCTAATTGTTAAATTGTTAATTGTAAAATAGTATCATAGGTTTTTTAAGAAGTCCTTACTCTATAAAGATATATACAAAAATATTTATGAGTGAAATGATATGCTTGGGATTGCTTTAAAATATCAAACATAGGGATTTTCTTGGTATGGAGTGGTTAAGAATTGGTGCTTCCACTGCATGGGGCATGCGTTCGATTCCTGGTCAGGGAACCAAGATCCCACATGCCACTTAGTGAAGCCAAAAAATTAAATAAGTTGGAAAAAACAACAATAACAAAAAAGCCCCACCAAAAAACAATCATTTGACAGTTTACCCCTCCCCCCCCAAAAAAGGATCAAGCACAAACAAAATGGGGGTGATAGAAAAAACTGGCATAATGTTGGTTATTGAAACTTGGTAATAAGTATATGGAGATTCATTATATTTTTCTCTTTATTTTTGTGTATGTTTGAAATTTTCAGTAGTAAAAATTTTTAACAAGTGTGTCTCTTAGAATTGGTTCAGTTTAACATCCACATCAGCTGTATGGGATATGTACTGTCACTATTCCCGTTTTACAGGTGAGGATCTAAGAGAGAGGTTAAATCACTTGCCCAGAATTACACAGCTGGTCAGTGACTCAGGCTTTAAACTTAGGGAGTCTGGCTTCAGAGCACTGCCTCCCATAATGTTGCTCATAAATGCTTACTGTTGGTAGTAGTACTATGCTGTGCATCATTCTTAGAAACACTTTGATGCAAACATTTGCTTTCTTATATTACATGTGTTTTGCTGTAGCTAATATCTAGACCCATCCCATGTGGGTGTGTTAATAAAACACTCTAGAGATTGGGGTGTATGGCTCAGTCTTTTAGAATTTGTGAGTTATAGAGGAGACTGTTCTTTCTTAGATATGTCTTTGAAAAAAATTTTTTTTTCCTCAGCACTTTAACTTGACTTTCCAAAGCCCAGTGTGAGTTGATGGCCTTGTATACCCTTTTCAGAATGGAAATCCCCTGGTTGTATTTTTTTAAGAATTGTAAGGTGACTCGGTATATAGGATAATTTTGGACAGAGAGAAAAGAGTGAATGTTGGGTTTCCTGATCTTATCTCTTAGCTGTATTTAATATGTTTCTGCCAAAGTATTTTTTTCCCCATGAGTAAGCTGTTTTATTTAACGTCCTCAGCTTGGTCCGAATGTGCTGAGTTGCTTATTTTCTCCATGCATTTGCTGCCTGTGACCAGTTTGAGCTGTCTCTTTGTGTTTTGCTTCTCATGTGATCCTAACCCACTCAAAGATGTTATTGGCTGGTGTTGCAGTTCTCAGCTCTTTTCTTGCTGGGTTAAAGATATTTGTGTATAAATGCCAGTAAAATGTCATTTCCAAAATTTTATCTCCTTTTGGTAGAACTGAGGGGAGTCAATAGGAAGTTTAGAGAACCTGAAAAATGTGATAGTGCACATTTCTTGATTTTTCTCCCCTTTCCTTTCTCAGGTACAAGAACATTCCACAGATGTCCTTTGATGATACAGACAGGGAGCCAGATCAGACCTTTAGTCTGAACCGGGATCTTACAGGGGAATTAGAGTATGCTACAAAGTAAGCACTGGGCCTCTCTTCCGCTCTCTGGCTTCTCCTGAGAATAGCAGGCACTCCCTTGTTTGCAGTGAGCATCTGTGCATTAGCGCTTACTAGGCTTGCAATTTGGTTTTGGCCGGTCTCCTGCTGTCTTAGCATCAGCAACAAGTTAAAACAGTGGAGAATCCTGATCCTAGGCTTGGTCACATTTTGGCAGTTTCAGTGCAAGCCATAGACTTGTTAACCTGGAATCAACAGACAGATCTGAATGAGCTCCTAGCGGTGTCTTAGGAAAGATGTTTTCAGAATTGCTCTTTGCATAGTGGGCTTACAGCAGCCAAGTTACATGTGACCACATATCTCTTCACTGATTTCTTTTTTGAGCTTGCTTTCAAATTCCTGTGTAGCCGCACAGTGGGGGCAGTATTATTTTTCGTCCCTATTGCCTTGGACAAGATCTGGCCAATTTCAGTAAATGTTCACTGTAAAATTGCTTGTCCAGAGAAGAATGAGATGTTAAGACCCCAAGATTATTCTCTGACATTTGCCTGGGTTTTACCACAAGATGGAGCTGGAATTGACATTTTTAACATAGTGGCTAGCAGGCTCATTGACCTCTAATTGTTGTCTTCTCTCTCTACTCCTTCATCCTCTAGAATTTCTCGTTTTTCAAATGTCTATCATCTCTCAATTCATATTTCAAAAAACTTTGGAGCTGATACCACAAAGGTCTTTTATATTGGCCTGAGAGGAGAATGGACTGAGGTAAGATGGGGTTGGAAGTGTTTTTGCCCTTCCATGATGTGCACATTTGTAGCTATAGGCTGTGTCAGTAGGAGCTTGAAGGAAAGGAAAAAGAGCAATTGAGACATTGATTACTTTGAGTCTCTATAATATTTCATCACTGTAAACTATGTCATTTGACAGGCTATAGGAATTTTAAAAGGGTTGAAATAATACAGTTGATAGCAATTTGGTTTTTCACCTTAAAATTCTTTCCTTGATTTAACATTGTTAATAACTTTTCTTGTTCCAGGCACCAGAGGTAGGGTGATAAACAAGATAGACAAGTTCTTCTCATGGTGCCTCCATTATAGTGGAAAAATGAATCTTTGAAGTTACAGGGTGAATCATTGATTTGATCTTATCCAGGCTTCTCACGGGCTTCCCAGGTGGCTCAGTGGTAAAGAATCCACTTGCCAAAGTAGGAGCTTCCGGAGATGTGAGTTCAGTCCTTGAGTCGGGAAGATCCCCTGGAGGAGGAAATGGCAACCCACTCCAGTATTCTTGCCTGGGAAATCCCATGGACAGAGGAGCCTGGTGGGATGATACAATCCATAGGGTCACAAAGAGTCAGATGCAACCGAGCACACAGTGCAGGCTTCTCAGGATAAAAAGCATCAGAATGGGGAAGAAATGAGAGGATGATGTCTAGAAATGAACCTGAATAAGGACTACTCCAGTGTGTGGTCTGGGAAGTGGTCAGCTGACCCAGCCTCTTAATTTTCTTGCAGCTTCGCCGACATGAGGTGACCATCTGCAATTATGAAGCATCAGCCAACCCAGCTGACCACAAGGTCCATCAGGTTACCCCACAGACACACTTTATTTCCTAAGGGCTGGCCAAGACTCCCACAGAGGTGTTGTGTTGGTGAAGAAGTATGACATCCTGTTGGGAAGGACAAAGAGAGATGGGGCTCCAAAGAGAGTTGGCTGCCACAGCCTCTGCCAAGCTCTGTCTTTGGGGCTTGCTGCCAAAACCTGGCCTATGGAAGACCCCACACCCCCGGGAAGGGTTGTGTGAGTGCCAAGGGACAATCGTCGTTCTCTAGGGCCCTACAGAAATTGGGTCTTGGGCTGGTCAGTACCTGGCAGCCGTGGATAATGCCTGCCTTCCCAGTTTATGTGGCCATGGGATCCCAAGTGTCTTGTTGCTTTGTGACAGGATTATTGTGTGACTTGTTTTTAAAATGGAAACTATTCCTGGGCTGCAGTAAACTTTCTGAAGCCTCAGCATTGTGTTTGTATTAACCATCAGGAGGGTCTCCAGCTAGAAATACTTGTCCCTGCTTGCTCCTTCTCCCTGTCATCTTTCAACATTCTTGTCAAGTTGCCCAGCTTGGAGTTGTCTGTCATGCACCAGTGTCCCATCTTATAGCTTGAAGAGCAGAAATCTGATGTTGCTTAATAGCTTGAGAGGGTCTTTTTTTCCTATTGCCCAGGTAAGCAGTCTGAGGAGAGCATTGTTGCTATGTTTGTGGGTATCCTGGTCGGGGTAAGATTGGGACTTTGATATGCTTCTCTTTGGGACATCCTTGATGTTTATCAGCTTTTAACTAGTGTTGTAAGCCCAATGGCAGAATTTGGAGATCTGAGTTCTTCTGTTCATGGCTTTTTATTCACTGTGACTAATCAGCTTCCTAATAAACCCTTGCCAGACTTAATGTTTGTATATTCTTTTGTGTTCTTGGTAGTAATTATGAAACCTTTGTTGAAAACTGTATGAAATTTTGAAATCAGTTGTGATTTTGGACTAGGTAGATCATAAGTGCCACAATTGTATCAACACTAGATCAGTGTCTCCAGGAAAGGTCAGGCCGTGTTCTGTATAGTAGGATAAAAACACTCCTACACCCACTAACCCACATTTTGTAAAGAATCTGAGGTTAAAACCCTTACATTTCATTTCTCACATAAGGAAGTAACTTGTGGGGTGAAGTTTACAAAAATAAGGGAGAACAGATTCTCGAGCTCATCAGAAGAAATGATGGTGAGGAAATTAAGTGAGCAGCAGATACGGTCTGAAGGTGGACCCAAGACTTTGGACTTAAGTTTTGAAAGTCAGTACAGCAGTTGGACTTAAGTACCTCAAAAGAGATTTGAAATAGTATTTTCTCCCTTGCAGAAAATAGAAACACTTGATAATGGGAATTAGTGTTGGATTTGATCCTCTTGAGAGAATTCCTCTGAATCGGCCCACACAGTTATTAGCCTGTTTCTCCAGCCTGTCCTGGGGAAAGTCTGCCACCACCAAGCCTGTCAAGCCTCAGAATTTTTAAATATGCAGTCTGAAATCAACCAGAATGCAAACATTCTTGATGCACTGGGGTAGTACTCGCTCTACCACAGGCTTGCTGTCACTTGGGTTATTTGGAGATAAAAAATAATGGCTATGTTTAATTTGGAGTAGGGGGAAAATAAAGTTAGGAATGTTAGAGCAGACTAGCCCTTCATTGATCCCACTGATTAAAGCACTAGTCATAGGTGGCCTCTGGGGCAAGGCCTCTGAATTTGAGCTTCCCTTTACACGACTGAAGTGACTTAGCAGCAGTAGCAGTTGAAGAGTTTGCTCTAATTGCCACAATGTCTCAAGTGTTGGGGTGCAGGAGGAATTGTTTATTTTTCCACAAGCAGACCCAACCAGGAGTCTGGGAGAAGGGGCAGCTGTCTTCTCTTCATCCACTCATTCCTCTGCCAGTCGTGGGTCCTTGGCTTGCTGTGGACCTCTGGACCCAGTTTTCCTATTCAGGGCCATCTCTGACCTGCTGAGTGCTTAAGACCAAAGCCCCTCTTAACTTGGGAATAAGTGCTTTGCTGAGCTTCCAGATACTGTTTTCTTTCAGTTCAAAGAAAAACCAGCTTAGGTTACACTGGGCAAGTGAGTCCTGAGCTGCTGAGGGCTGACTCATTTCTTGTGTGCGGATGTCCACAGGCTCTGTCGGGGACGTGGTCCTTCAAATCAGCTTGCCTCCCTTTCCAGCCTTTATGTGGGCCCTGAGTCCTGCTCCATCTTACCAGTGCAACAAGGAGCAAAGAGTGACCTCAGTGGTCCCCAACTGAAACCCTTTTTGTGAACAACTGGAGCTCACCGACGCTAGTATTTTGGGCACTGTCTGCATGCCATAGCTTGTCGAGGGCAGAGCTAAGAGAATACTTCCGATTCCTGACCAGTGGTCCCGGACACTGCTGATGCCAGTGTTCATTTTTTCCCAGGGTCCTTTTTATAGTCATTAAGTCCTCACACTGATTTTACACTGTATAAAGCATTGCCACACGACCTCAGTTGAGCCTTAACAGCAAAGCTGTGAAGCAAGCAGGGTGGTTATTACCGCCGTTTTATAGCTGAGGAAGCAGATGCAGAGGAAGCATTAGAGTAATCCTGAGATTGCTGTTTACTTCCCTCCCCTGAGCCTGTTTCCTTATCTTTAAAAGTAAGACCGGAAGACCAGATAGTCTCAAAGGGTCTTGTCAGCTGGAGTGTATGACTCCATGATCCTGGGATAGGACCTGTGGTGAGTACCCCAAGACCATAATGGATGGGAAGGTAGGAAACGACGTTTGAGAATGCCTTTAGCCTCAGGAAGACTGCCTCTCCTTCAAGAAGGTTTCCTTCAGGAGACCGACGCATGGGTGGTGGTAGCAAGTGGGAATCACGGGTGCGTCGTCTAGACCGTGAGGAAACTCCGTGGCCTAATCACGGAGAGTCGTCCCACCGTACCCAACATGGCAGCCCTCATCCGAGGAAACCCTGACGCCCACTTCCGGGTTCCGTAGCGCTGGCCAGGCTACTTCCGGCAGCGCGATGGCTGGGTTCCCGGGACTCGAACGGAAGTTCCGGCGGGGGCGGCCGAGGGGGGGAAGAGTGTGTGTGTCTGTGCTGGAGAAAGAGGAGAAAATCGCCCGAGAGGTCTTGAAACCCCCCAGGGAGTGGAGGTACCCTGATCCTGGGCCAGCAGGCGGGGGAAGGGCACTGGAGTGGCCTCGGCTTCACCACGAGGGTCTTGGCGAGAGAGGAGGGGCAACCGCAATTGTGAGGGATGGGGGTGGGGAGTGAGGTGCGAAGAGGCGCCGGCCGGTCTTGGGGAGTTTCGGGGTAGAGACGGGGAAGAAGGTGGGGTCCGGGTATGATGAGAGGGGCTTCAGGGTCGGAAGTTGGAGAATCCCACTGTGGGGCCGGGGGGGGGGGGCGCTCTCCAGGGTTAAAAGTGGAACGCCCCTGTGTGGGCAGAAGCGGGTCCGGGATCAGGATACAAAATGTCACTGTGAGGCTGGCCACCCTCGGTCAGAACAGAAGTTCCCATTGTGGGGAGTGGGAGACCCTGAATCAGGGTGGAAGTTTTTACTGTGGGGAGGAAGACCCCAGGTCGCGGGGGTTGGGGGGAGGGAAGCCACCACTCTGAGAGGAAGGACCTAGGGTGAGAGGTGGAAGTTGCTCAGTGGGGGAAGGAAGGGAATCCCAGCTTGGGGCAAAAGATGAATTCCTGCGTGGGAAGAGGGACCCCGGGGTCAGAGGTGAGGAGGGATCCTCCTGTGAAGAGGGGCACTCGGGGTCCGAGGGGGAAGGTGGAAGCCCTTTGGTAGGGTGGGAGGGGTGGGCACAGCCAGGAAGGGTAGGCACTTAGGCTCCGGTAGCAGAAGCTTCCGGGGAGTTTGGAGGATGCTAAGGATGGGGAGGAGCCCGCCAGCTTGACATTCTTTTGTGTGTTTGGGAATCCCGGAGCGTGGTCGAGCTGTGGGGAGACCTGTTTGGGAGTGGTGGGCAGCAGCAGGTAGCCTCTTTCGGGGCGGGGGTGGGTGGTGGATCAGAGTTTGTGTGCCTCCTGCGGACACGGGCAGCCCGAGGGGCTCTCAGAATGCTTGAGGAGGACTGGATGGGAGGGGAGTTGGACAAAATTGCGTGGGGTTGAGGGTAGGGGCCTGAAGCCTCTTTCCCTGGCATTTTTCTCCCCTTCATTTCCCAGTAGGGCTGGGAGGAGGGCATCAAGGGCTCTAGAGAAGGGAGGTGACTGTAGAATAGGGAGAGGAGGCAGTCACCTGCTGAGGACTGTCGGTGGGGAGAAGGCTGCAGGGAGCCCCTGGCTCCCCTCCCACCAAGGCTCCTGAGCCCAGCCTCTGCCCACCTCCAGCCCAAGCTCAGGCTGTGTGGGGGGCCAGACCTAGGGCTGCCAGGGTGGCTGCCTCTGTTCTGCCCTGGAACGAAGGCACACTTCCTCCCCACTCAGCCCCAGGACTGTGTGGCCTGCCTTCCCTTTGCGCCCAGGAGATAGAACCTAGGGGGACTGAGGGGCTCATGGCCCGGGTGTGTGTTTCTGCTGCTGGGCCAGGATGCTGTCCCCTGCCTGGCCTTGCCCTTGACCACTGCCCGGTATTTGCACAGGCCCCAGGCGTGGAGCCCTGCAGTGTATGTGTGGTAACACCATGTCTGTGCCCCTGCTCACCGACGCTGCCACTGTGTCTGGAGCTGAGCGGGAAACAGCTGCGGTAAGGGTCCTCTCCTACCCCACGCAGCCCCCAGGCCGCCTGGGGAGCTGACTGGAGTGGGTGTGGGGAGGATGGAGGTGGCGGTGATGAGGGGAGCGGCCCTGCAGCCAGGAGGCAGGGGGATGCTCCCTCAGGACCCCCCGCCCCCAGGTCCTGGGGCTGAGGGAGGGGTGACCAGAAGCTGGAGGACAGAGAGCGATGGCAGGATGATGACTGCCCTCTTCCCCGTCTCCGGCCCTCTTCCAGGTTATCTTTTTACATGGACTTGGAGACACAGGGTGAGTGAGCTGGGGAGGGGGTGTTTCCGGGGAGGCCCGCACCCTCCTCCTTCCCTCTCCACATCGGTGCCTTTTCTCCCTTCCTTCCGACAGGCACAGCTGGGCTGACGCCCTCTCCTCCATCCGGCTCCCTCACGTCAAGTACATCTGTCCCCATGCGTGAGTGTCACCCCAGCAAGGCAGGGACTAAGGAAGGGGGTTGTCCTGTGGTCCCAGGCCTCTTCTCTGCTGCCAGCTGCATGCTGGGGCTTGAGGCCCAGAGCCGTCCGAAGGGCCCTTTTCAGCCTTCATTCCTGTGGAACCCCCTGGGAACGGGGGGTTCAGCCCAAGGCCTCCTAGACCCAGGACTCCTGGGACCAGGATCTCCCATGTCCCCCCTTCCCCAAGTACTCACCCACTGAGCTGGAACCCTGTCACACCGAGTGCTGGGCTCTGCTTCTCCATCGCCACTGCCGATGCCCCAGCCACAGCCTCCAGCCCCACGTGGCAGGTTGCCTGGCAACACCTTAAACACAGGCCCTGCCCGCTGCGAGGTTCCCCAGGGGCTGCCCTGCCCCCTCTCAGGCTGTCTGCTGTGGCTGCCTCATCCCTCCTGCACATGACGGTCCTCCTTGCTATCTCTTCGCAGGCCTCGGATCCCTGTGACACTCAACATGAAGATGGTGATGCCCTCCTGGTGAGCTTGGGGAGGGGAACAGGAGCCGAGGGAGCTGCCCCGGGGCCAGCCCAGGCCTCCCAGTGGCTGCCAACACCTCTACTCCTCCAGGTTTGACCTGATGGGGCTGAGTCCAGATGCGCCAGAGGACGAGGCTGGCATCAAGAAAGCAGCAGAGAACAGTAAGGCCCCAGCCCCTCCTCGGCATCCTCCCTGTCCCCCTCGGCCCCCCAGGAAAGTGCTGGGCAGAATCTCTTGTCTGGCTCCCTTCCTGGAGTCCCTCTAGCAGCTTTCCTCCCACCCGGTTATGCCCCCTCCCCCCAGTCAAGGCCTTGATTGAGCATGAGATGAAGAACGGGATCCCTGCCAATAGGATCGTCCTGGGAGGCTTTTCACAGGTGAGGGGAGAGAGAGGGGTGGGTGGGTAATGGGTGCTGAGCTGTGCCCTCGTGACCCCTCATTCTCTCCTTTCGCCAGGGTGGAGCTCTGTCCCTCTACACAGCGCTCACCTGCCCCCACCCTCTGGCTGGCATTGTGGCGTTGAGCTGTTGGCTGCCTCTGCATCGGGCCTTCCCCCAGGTGAGCGTCTCCACGACCCTGCTCCTGCCCTCTGTCTCCTCGGGCCTGGGGGGATCATGCCCAAGCCCCGGGCTTTGCCCTCTTAAGTCCTGTTCGGCCCACAGGCAGCCAACGGCAGTGCCAAGGACCTGACTATCCTTCAGTGCCATGGGGAGCTGGACCCCATGGTTCCTGTACGGTTTGGGGCTCTGACAGCCGAGAAGCTGCGGTCCGTTGTCACACCTGCCAGGGTCCAGTTCAAGACCTACCCAGGTGTCATGCACAGCTCCTGTCCCCAGGTCAGTGTGGAGGGGCTCCTTCCTTTCCCCGCCCTCCTCCCTCCGGCCAGGCGCATCTCACAGTCCTCCTCACCCCCAGGAGATGGCAGCTGTGAAGGAGTTTCTTGAGAAGCTGCTGCCTCCTGTCTAACCAGAGTTGCTGTCCCCCAGCACAGTCCCCCCGCTTACGGGGGGTACTTGGCACGCGTGGCACCATCTTGGATCTGAGCCGGTCGAGCCCCTTTCTCACCTTTCTGGACCCATCCCCTCTTCCCACATGCCTCTGGGGCAGACAGGCCAAAGCCTGGCCAGGCCCTCCTTCCTGGCTTCAGCCCCCTGACTGTCTGCTGCAGGGGGTGGGCTGCTTTCTTATCCCATTTCCCTGGAGGTGGGGGCCACCCCCCTGGCAGCAGTATTGGAGGGGCTGTAGGCAGCGGGAGAAAGGGGCCCAGCCGCTGACCCACTCACTCAGGACCTCACTCACTAGCCCCACTTTGGGCCCCCTCCGGTGACCTCAGGGTTTGGCCCATGGGGCCCTCCCAGGCCCCACCTCCTCCCACCTCCCCCAACTGATTCTGCCCAGATAATCGTGTGTCTCCTGCCTCCACTCCAGCTGCTTCTCAATCATGAATGTGTCCATGGCCCGACCCCTGACCGCTGTGGGCTCCCTGCCCCTGCGCAGGAGTGTGGGTGACGGGGCCAAGTCTTTCGAGGGGGCCTCCCCTCAGCCGTTCTGATGTGGGGGCTGGGCCCTGCCTCCCCATTACCCTCCACCTCCCGCGGGCCTGGAGCCTGCCGGGCTGGACTGGGGCTCAAGGTCTCCCCCAGCCGCTTCACCCCACGTTGTCCCCACGCTAGGTCTTGGGGGAGCTGGGGAGGAGTCTTGTGTCTCGTCTTCTGTCTCCATGTAGTTTCGGGTGTTTTTCTTGTCGTGTCCTGGATTCCGATAAAATTAAAGAAATTGCTTCAACTCTCAGGCCTGGGTGAGTCTATCCAAGGGGTAGAGTGTGACCATGTGCAAGTATCTGTTCCAGTGTAGGAAAACTGTTTATTTTAAATACTCTGGGATGCTCCTTCATAGCCTTGTAAGTTAGTGCCTGGGAGGAGGGGCTTGTGTGTGTCTTCAGGCCCTGCTGACGCCACTCAGCCTCGGTGGTCCGCGTGGGTTCCTGGCCCCTGGGGCCCTCCGGTCACCGGAGACCCTGGCCTCGGGCCTGGTGGGCTCAGTGGGCCCAGCTGGGGTCCGAGGTCGTGGAGCCTCTGGGGCCCCTGGCTTCCTGCCAGAGGCTGGAGAGCAGGCAGTTGTTTCTCTCCCTTTTCTGGTCCATGGGAGGCCAGGGTCTCAGGCCTGCGAGCCAAAGCCTGAAGGATTCTGCTTCTGCCAGCGCCATAGATCTTCACCTGGAACGGGACGAGGTCCATGCTCAGGGGCCACACTGAATGCAGGGCCCGCAGCGTCTTGGGCAGCCCAGGATGGGCCAGCCCGGACCCCAGTAGCCCTTTCCTGGCCCCCCAGTCTCTCCCAGCGGTCAAGCAAGCACCCAGGATCGGGGGTTCAGGCGAGCACTCACACATCCTGTCCAGCCCTAGGGCTGCTGACCAGCCCAGCTCCTTGAGGGCCAGGCTGGGGTCGGCGTAACAGGCAGCCACGTCGCCTTCACGCCGGGCCACCACCTTGTATGGGATCTGCAGGAGAGGGGGTGGTTGTAGTCTAGCTGAACCAGCCCTGGCATCACCCACCAAGTTGCTGACCAGCCCTCCAGAAATGGAGGTGTGGAGCAGGGTCTCACTCTCAGGCATCAAGGCCTCAGGCAGGCTCGAGTAGACAGCAGAACTCGGGTGCCCATCAGGTATGTCAGTGCGAGGGGCTGGGTGGGGCAGGGTGGCTGCCAGCCTACCTTCTTCCCGGAGGCCTTCTCCATGGCCTGGACCATCTGTAGCACCGAATAGCCTGTGCCCGTGCCCAGGTTGTAGATCTGCCCAGGAAAGGAGGGCAGAGATTGTGGTGGGGGTGGACCGACTTCCCCTCTGGGCCCCATTGATCCCGGCCTCTGTCTCTGTTTCCCCCACTTCTCCCTTCTCCCCCTACCCGGCAGCCACACTGCTCCTTCAGCTTCCTCAAGGCCGCGATGTGGCCCTTGGCCAGATCCACGACGTGGATGTAATCCCGGACGCCTGCAGAGGAGGACGTGGTTGCGGGGAGGGGCCCGTCAGGGTCTCTGTCCCGCCTCAGCCTCCCTCGTGGCTCCTGGGCTCACCTGTGCCATCCTCCGTGTCGTAGTCGTTGCCAAAGACATTCAGTTTCTCCCGCCGCCCAATCGCCACCTGGGGTGGAGGTCAGCTTAGCTCTTCCCAGACCCTCACCCGTGGAGCCGACCCCCTTTCCCTTCTCCCTTACCTGGGAGACATAGGGCATGAGGTTATTGGGGATGCCCTGCGGGTCCTCGCCGATTCTGCCTGAGGCATGGGCGCCTATGGGGTTGAAATACCGCAGCAGCACTGCGTTCCAGGCCTGTGGGATGCAGATCAGACAGAGGAGATTGAGGTGCAAGCTGTATGTCCCACCTAAATCCAGAGCCGCTGCCCCCCCCCCCCTTGCTGATTCTCTGTCCTGAAAGGCCTGAAGTCACTGCCGCTTCCTGAGCCCCAGCTTTGACCTCGGGAAGGGTGGCTCAGGACCCCATCCTAGGCTCGGGGCAGGCTGTGAGGGGCCCGAGAGCGGGGCCCAGGCTGAGGCAGAAGGGGCCCTTACCTTGTCCGCCTGGCACAAGTCCCGGATCATTTCCTCAATGAAGAACTTGGACTTGCCATAGGGGTTGGTACAGCCACCTGTGGGGTGGGCCTCATCCAGAGGCAGGTACTGGGGGTTCCCGTACACGGTGGCCGAGCTGCTGAATACCAGGTTCTTCACCCCGTGGGCCCTCATGATCTGCCCGCGGAGGAGAGGCGTCAGTGGCTCCTGCCTCCCCCAAGGCGGGTGAGGCCGAGGCATGAACTCTCGTTTACAGAAGGGGAGACTGTGGCTGAGAGCTGAAGACGTGTCCAATGTGTGAGCCAGCTTGGGTTCTCCCACCGTGTTTGGTACTGCCTGCCTGGCCCGGGGCCCTCCCGGGGTCTGTCCCCAGCCCAGGTCTCACCTCCAGAAGCTGGATGGTTCCCGTCAGGTTGACTCTGTAATAATCCAGGGGCTTCTGCACTGACTCACCCACAGCCTTGAGCCCCGCAAAGTGGATGACCGCCATGAAGCTGTGCTGCGGGGTGGCAAAACTGGGATCAGATGTGGCTTACAGGCCCGGCCCTTGGCAGTGCCCACTGCTTGCCTTCCTGCCAAGCGCCCACCTTCTTAAAGAGACGTTGTAGAGCTGCCTGGTCCAAGATGTCCATCTCCTCAAACTCCACAGAGCAGCCTGTCAGCTCCTGAACCCGCCGCAGGCTCTCAGGCATGGAGCCCCCTCCTGGTTGGGCACACAGAAGCCATCAAAATTAAAGGCGATGGGGAGCTGGGCTCCCAAGGGACTGGCCATGCATACACCCCTTGGAGGTGGACGTAGAACCTAGGGTTTCCCTTCCATCCCCCCGGGAGCCCCAGCCCCCTCCCCGTGCCACACTCACCACGAATGGCGTTATGGAAGTTGTCAATGACCATGGGCGAATAGCCCGCCTCCAGCAGCTCCAGGACAGTGTGGCTGCCAATGTAGCCAGCCCCACCTGTTACCAGCACTTTCTCTGCCATTATGCCCGGCTCAGGACAAAGACTCAGAAGTGGCCGAGGTGGTCCGCTCAGAGCCTCCTTCAACCTGGAGTCTGGTGTCCAAAGGGGTGGTGTGTCCTAGTTAATAGGGTGGGTCTGGAGTCAGCCCTGGTCCAAGGTCAAAGAGCATCACTCTCTGGCCTTAGGCCTTGGAGACCAGTTCTCTCTTGGCCCTAGTTTCCGTCTCTATAACATGGAGTTTATAACTGTACCAGTATGTGGTCACATAAGGGTCAGATGAGGTGATTCTAAAGGTCCGTCACACCGGATCGGTGGAGACGCATACACAGGCGCCATAGCTTCTAGCCCTAATTGACCGGGGGTTGGGAAGATGGAACCTGAGTCTCCACACTGCTTCCCTGAGGCGCCTGGGGACTGGACAACTCTGGACAGAAGGAAGCAAAGCAAGCAGCACTGGACCCCCAAGAGCCCAGGAGGAGGGCTGTCTGCTCAGACCCAGACCTCCCCAGTCGCTCCGCCATCACTGGGCACAAACTGGCTCCTGGTTCGCTGACTAACACCTCCTGGAGTAAGCACCTTCTCCCACAAAGGTCAACTGGGAGAGGCAGGAAATACAGCAGATGGCCTCAGGGTGGGTCCTCTGCCCGGCGGGCTGAGCCCAGCTCTGGGGTTGCAGCACTGTTAGTCCTGGAGTGGCCCCACCCCCAGGTCGGTCAGGCTGGTTCAGCCAGTGCGGATGCCACTCCTGGCCTGGCGCTAAGAATCCCGCCTAATTCTAGGCGGTACTCAACAGGGTGGTGTAGACGTGGCTTTGGCTCCAGATTTCACTGCCAGGTGTGCACCGCCGCCCTTAACAAACTCCGCGGGCAGAGACGGTGGGGGGATTGGCGGGGGAGGAAGTCCACAGACACTGAGGCCTTTCACTGGGGCAGCCTGGCCCGCAGCCGCCTTCCTCCAAGCAGCCTTAATTCTGTTCTGGGTTCCTACAGCTCCTAACCCACTAGATTGAACGCCCGCTGCGCGCCAGGCCCTGTACTGGGCACTTCTGCATTATCTCCCTGAATTCCTCCAACGTCCTAATGAGGCAGGTGTTATTACTGCCAGTTTAGAGAGCAGGATACTAAGGTCAGAGCGGTTAAGTAATTTGCGTAAGTCACACAGTCAGTGACGGCGGGTTTAGACTCTGGATCTAGTCCCGCCCCTCCCCAAACAGTTCGGCCCTTGTCCCCACTGGTTCCCGCCGGACTTTGCCCTAGACGTTGAAGCCGCCCCCGCCCCATCGAGCACCAAACAGTGTGCAGGCCCTCCAAAAATGGTGGCGGGGCATCCCAGGGAGGCAGGAAGGCCGGTGAGGTTGCCCTCCCTCCGACACGCGGGGTGATCTTCGGTCAGCTGTTGCCTCAGTCTTCCTCGTCCGTAAAATGGAGGGGAGGGGTCGCAGGGCCGTGAGCTCGAGTGCCCTAAAGTCTCAGGCAGGGGATTCGGGCGGTGGCTGGATGGGGGCAGAACTAGGAGTCCCCCCGGCCGGGAATGAATGAATCCTGGCCGCCCCATCCAAGGCAGTGGGAGCTGGGAGCCGCGGGGGCGAGCCCGCCTAGGCGGAACTCTGCCCAAAACACAGCCCGGACCCCAGAGACTCCCCCGCGCTCCCAGCGGACCACCCGCCCCCTCGCAAACCCGCTCGGCCCCACCCCCCACCAGCCTCCCAAACCTGCTCCGCACCACGCGCCCCGCGCAGTCTCGAACGGCGCCGCCTCCCGTGCTCCGTGACCGGTCCCTTTAAGAGCCGACGCTCCGCCCTGGACCCGCCCCCCCCATCACGCCCCCAAGAAACGTGTCAGTCGGGAGCCGGCAGTACGGGGAGCCGGGTGGGCCAAGAGCGCCGCGGCTCCAGGACGCTTGCGCGGCACAGTCCGCAGAGGGCGGTACGGGCCGGTGCCAGGGCGGTGGGCGGCGGAGCGCGCGGTCGGCACCTGGGGCCCGGGAGACCTGGCGTACCCGCCGGTCCCGAACCCTGGAAGCAGGCGCTGCGCCCCGGGAGATGCGGCTGGTCGGGAGCGCCCGGCAGCCATCCTGCAGCGGGAGCCACAGACGAGCGCGGCGCGGAAGACCGCGGCTCCACGCTCGCCCCAGGTTTCCCACCTTTTGTCAGTAAGCCTGGCGTTAAGTAGATGGCTGCGTGGAACGGAGAGGCAGGAGGGGCGGCGCCGACGGAAGGGAGTGGGTCGGGGTTTCTCACAGGCTGCCATTCTGGAAAATCTAGTTTTAAAAACCCGCCAAAGGGCTGAAGGGAGCCCAGAGACTAGAACACGAATTACAGCGCCAGCTGCGCCCAGCCTTCATGCACACCGTGGCCCCCAACCTCGCGGAACGGTTTGCACCTTGCCTACCATAGTAGACTTGAAAAATAATGTTCTGTTTCTCTTTAAAATAAAGGGAGGGCTAAGGAATGGTGTGTATAAAGCTGTGACATACTGAATGAGGAGCTTCCCTGGTGGCTGAGATGGTAAAGAGACCCCAGTTCCATCCCTGGGTCGGTCGGGAAGATTCCCCCGGAGAAGGAAATGGCAACCCACTCAAGTATTCTTTCATGGACAGAGGAACCTGGTGGCCTGCAGTCCGTGGGGTTGCAGAGTTGGATACGACTGAGCCATTAACATAGACACATACTGAATGAGGAAACCCGCGCAGAGGAAGAAATGCACACGGGGTCCCACAGCCTGGAGAGCCCTGGGCCTGCTGGAGCCTAGCAGGGATGCTGACTGGTCCCCTGGTCCCCAGGGCGCCTAGAGATGCGCCTGCCTTGGCCCAGAGGACCTTGTGCCACAAACAGTCCTGGTCACAGAGCGAACAGCCTCAGAAACAACTCTCCAGGGATCCCTGGTCAGTGCTGAGTAAATCATTACCACTGATTTCCCCAGTTCTCAGGAGGGCAAGGAGGGAGAAAATCCAGAGGCCTGCGTTTTCCTCTCTCAGGAAATGTAAAGATGGCCCCCCCCACCCCACCCCCGCCTCTCATGTATACACACATTTGCACAAGAGTACACTGGAATGGTTCTCATTAAACCTTTAATTACGTAATCTGTTTTCAACAATCATGTTCAATGTGGAGATTTTGCAGAGGTGCTGGAGTTGGCAGGTGGCCACCACAGCTACTCAGCCCTCACCCCTTCACCAAATGCCCTCTGCCCGCTGAGGGAAAAATTCCTCCAGGCCCCTCTGCCCTACAAAGTCACAGAACGATGGCCCTCAAGAATATGACAACAAGTTGTGGAGAGTGGCCAGCTGGCGGGTTCCACCCAGAGATGAGACTTGAGGATCAACCCAGGCCAGAGAATTGGGTTCCCAAGAGCCCTTTCAACTCCTGGGCCTTTGGGTCCAGGTGGAAGGAGAACTCCAGCTGCCCAAACCTCTCACTCGTACTCAGGTCAGGCAGGGAGGGCCTGAAGCCAGGCAGCTCCTGTCCACCTCCTTCCTTCCAGGAGAGACCCATGTACAGAGCTGACAGTGAAGTACCTGCTCCGGTTGATTGCATTCCCATTTCCACATGACCATCCATGATTCATCCACAGGAGTCCCTATTCCCACACCATCCCCAGGGCTTCGGGGAGCAAGTGGCTCACAATTTACAGGTAGCCTGAGCCACTTTGGAGTTGGTTCTTCTGTTCAGGGCTTGACAGATGAAGGCTCCAGCTTCCAGGAGCTTCTGGAGGTTCACACCCTTTGAGAAACAGGTCAGAGGATGCAGTTAAGTCACAACGTGCCCTCAACACCCAGGGAAACATCCGACTGGACAGAATGATGCTGAGAAAGCGAAGGTGATGACAGCCATGCTCTTGTTCCTCTGACGGCGGGACACTGGCTGGCTGTGAGGTGCTGTCCTCCTGGCATGTGGGGTTCCCCTCTGACTGCCCTCAGTGAGGGCATGGTCTGGGGTGCCGCCACCCCAGAAGGGAGCTAGTAGTCCTGTTCGGTACTCCAGGGTCTAGCACAGGCCAGGCCCACAGGGGTCAAACACTGCGTGTGAAGTCAGGGACACGAGGCAGAGAAGTAGGGGTAGAAACACCAACTAAAAAGGCCACACCGAAAACCTCTTTATATTAATAACAACAGCTCCTATTTACTGCTGTGTACTATTTGCTTAGCTCTGGGCTACATTTTCTTACTTATCCTATGAGATAAGTGCTGTTATTTATTCCTATTTCTTAGGCCCAAAGTGCTGAAGTAGTCTGTCAGGTCACACAGCCTGTGAATGGCAGGACTAGGTTTTAAATCCAGTCCTGTCTGATCTCAAAGCACAGATGCTGTAGTGCTTCCCGCCCACGCTGCGGGCCCTCACTGACTGGCAGAGCCCTGTGTGGGGGTAGGGGGGTGGGGAGAGAGCACGCAATTCTATGACCCTCATTTTTTCCAGAGGAGGAAACAAAGGTCCAGAGAGAACTGACTCATTTCAGGCCGTGGCCTTGCCCCTTCCAGGGCTCCTTCCTTGCACCCTGGTGCCACCTTGGATGGAACTCTCAAACCCACGCCAAGGGCCTGGCCTCATAGCCCCCATCGACCACACTCTGTTATCTCAGATCACAGGATGGAAAGGCCCGAGTTCCTTGGAACCCTTCCCCTCTTAACTGCACCACCACCGCAAAATCCCGGAACAAACCCAGCAGCTCTGTCCTCTGGCTTCAGGCAGCACTCCGGTCAGTATTGGGGCTGTGACCACCAGGGGGCAGGCGGGCTTACCGTCTGAATGCCCAGGCCGGTCAGCATGTAGACCAGGTCCTCGGTGGCCAAGTTTCCCGACGCCCCCTGCGCATAGGGACAGCCTCCCAGTCCTGCCACGGAAGAGTCCACGACACTCACTCCCATCTGGAAACAAGGATGGTGGAACACGGCTGTCACTGGGGGGGGTCTGAGCCTACCAAGCCGGTCCTGGGAAACCTCCCTCTCAGTGGCTGCCTGAAATTCCACACAAATTATTCATTCCTTCAGTTTATGGAAATCCCACTGAAAGAAACTGTTCCTCTTTCTGGTTCCTACAACAGTGTGTCTTTTATGCTACACTGTTTACTCTGCCAGGAATCTTCTCTCCTTCCTTTCGTGGTTGACTCAACTTCTCCTTCTCAGCCTAAAAGCCGCCTCCTCAGAGACGCCCTTCCTGATCGCTCACCTAAAGTAACCCCTCCCAGCTGTTGAGGTTTCAGACTCGTTTTACTGTGCTCATGTACCACCCACTCTCCTGCACCCCACGTCAGGCCTCTGACGCCAGGGTCGCTTCTCTGGGTTGATCCCACTTCTCTTGATCAGTCGCTCCCACTTTCCTAGATGACTGTTCCATTTTCTCTCTCCTTAAGCCTCAACGCTGAGAAAATAAGACCCAGAAAGTCATAGAAGCATCTGGCTTAAAGACACGAGCCTCAAGGAGAGAACAAGAGATAAAAATGGGTAAAAAAAAAAAAAAAGGCGGCCCAGGGTTGCTCTACTAACCTAAACACTATACTAGACTTCCTGCAGCAAGGCAGCCTGTGGTCAGACACCCAGAACTTTCTTTCTAAGGGACTCTTGGGCCATGGGACCCTTGTTCTGGGCCAACCCACAAGAAGCTAACCTCAAGAGAAACGCAATCTGAGGTCATGGTCCAGTCTCTGGGCAAAGAGCATCAAAGTGCTCTCCCCAGTGATCTCTGCCTGCTGCCCCCTCTCCCCCACCCCCCGCCACTGATGCATGCGTGCGCACTCACAGCCGTGTATGCCGTGGTGGGGCCAGGGCGCCCCAGTCCTCCTGACCCCACCTTAGTCTTGTTTACAAGGCTGCCTGGTCACCTTTCCGCTTCCCTTTTTCAACTGCTCAGCTTCATGTCCTTCAAGCTGCACTGAGGCCTTCTCTGGGGAATCCTCTCTGCCCACCCCCACCCCCAGCTGGGATGGGGACCGCCCTCAGTCCCCATGGTATTGTCACAGTGCGTTAGGATTACCATCTAACTCTCCACTGTCTCCCCTGACAGATGCAGGCACTTTCAGGGCAGGGAGGCATGTCCGTGTCCACCGTGGCCAGCCTGGGGCCTGGCACACAGGTGTGGGCATGCACTGAAGGATTGCTGAAAGAATAAATGAAACACAGCTGTCCTGCCACCCTGCCCTTTGGGAAAACGGACGTGTGCCTTTATCCGAGGACATGCCCTGATTACCTGCAGGGCCGTCAAGGTGTTGGCCAGGGCCTGGCCGTAGGTGTCATGGCAGTGGACGGCCAGGGCTGTCACGGGCACCTCATGCAGGACAGCGGACAGCATGTCCTTCATGGCCCCAGGGGTGCCCACGCCGATGGTGTCCCCCAGGGAGATCTCGTAGCAGCCCATGGAGTACAGCTTCTTGGTGACCTGGGGAGACAAGTGGGCTTGGAGGACCCCGATTCCTCAAGCCGGGGTCCTTGGCCTACGCAGAACACCTCCATGTCCGAGGCACCAAGTTCCTCTTGGACCAGAGACTCCTTACAACTAACTGGGAGTGGGACTGATAATCCTCACCCTGCTCATCAGGAGACAGACACTGAGGAGCAGCGCTGGCCATCCGTGCATGCCCCGGGCTCTAACCCCTGTGGCTCTCCTCCGAGGGTCTCAGACTCCAGCTGGTCCTTCCCTCACCACCTTCACACACGGCGTCAGACCCAGGGGTGGGAATGAGGAGAATGATTCCTTTCACGTGGCTCTATCTTTGGTAAGAAGATGTGTGAAGCCAGGGGTCTGAAGTGCTAGTTCTATAAGAGAAGGACCTGGCCATGAAAAATTCAGAAGCCCATCCGTAAACCGCTAAGGTCATGGCAGAACCAGGGCAGGATCTGCTCCACGAAGAGATGCTGCCCTCCGCTGCTCTGGGGAGAAGGGGGAGGAAGGATATGGGGCCGAGGACGGAAACGATACTCGATACTCAATGATGGTCTGGGGGATAAAGGAAACGGCGGGCCCCCTCCTCCACTGCCCACGCAGGCAGAGTGACAAGAAGCCCATGGCAACCGGTGGGCGGGAGAGGATGCAACAGAGGCGGCAGGCGGCAGAGTGACGTGATGCCGAAATAATGCCCCAGTCTTGCTGCTCACTGGCTGGGGAACCTTGGCAGCGGACCGCAATTTCCTGAGCTGCAGTCTCTGTTCCTGAAAAACGAGGGCAAGCCTTTGGGGAGGACTGGGGGAACAGGAGGCTGAGGTCTGGACTGCAGCGGCCACTCTCAGTAAGGAGTGGCTGCTGTTAACCGCTGCTCATTTCTGGCTGCTAGCTGGTGTGCAGGAAGAGCAGGGGGCTTTGGAGGCAAACAGACGGGCTGAGACCTGCTTTCTCCACATGCAACCTGCATGGCAAGTCAGGGTCAGTTTCCTTAACTGTAAAATGGAATAACAATAACTCCAGATGTACAGGGTGATCTGTTTTGTTTTGGCCGCTCTGTGCTGCATGCAGGATCTTAGTTCCCCAACCAGGGATCGAACCCTGGGCCCGTGGCATTGAGAGCATGGAGTTCTTACCAAAGAATTTCCTGCAGGGTGGCTTTAAGGACAAAATGACACAAGCTCTTGGGCTGCTCGAACTCATTTCCCATCCTGTGTTCTTCTCAGTTCAGTTGCTCAATTGTGTCCTGACTCTGTGACCCCTATGGACTGCAAGACGCCAGGCTTCCCTGTCCATCACCAACTCCTTGAGCTTACTCAAACTCACGTCCATTGAGTCAGTGATGCCATCCAAATATCTCATCCTCTATCGTCCCCTTCTCCTCCTGCCTTCAATCTTTCCCAGCAGAAGGGTCTTTTCCATTGAGTCAGTTCTTTGCATCAGATGGCCAAAGTACTGGAGTTTCAGCTTCAGTCCTTCCAATGAATATTCAGGACTGATTTCCTTTAGGATGGACCGGTTGGATCTCCTTGCAGTCCAAGGGACTCTCAAGAGTCTTCTCCAACACCACAGTTCAAAAGCATCAATTCTTTGGCGCTCAGCTTTCTTTATAGCCCAACTCTCATATCCATACATGACGACTGGAAAAACCATAGCTTTGACTAGACGGACTTTTGTTGGCAAAGTAATGTCAATGCTTTTTAATATGCTGTCTAGGTTGATCATAACTTTGCTTCCAAGAAGCAAGCATATTTTAATTTCATGGCTGCAGTCACCATCTGCAGTGATTTTGGAGCCCCCCAAAATAAAGTCTCTCACTGTTTCCATATCTATTTGCTATGAAGTGATGGGACTGAATGCCACGATCTTAGTTTTCTGAATGTTGAGTTTTAAGCCAACTTTTTCACTCTCCTTTTTCACTTTCATCAGGAGGCTCTTTAGTTCATCTTAGCTTTCTGCCATAAAGGTGGTATCAGCTGCCCATCTGAGGTTATTAATATTTTTCCTGGCAATCTTGATTCCAGATTGTGCTTCAACCAGTCCGGCATTTCGCATGATATACTCTGCATATAAGTTAAATAAGCAGGTGTCAATATACAGCCTTTATGTACCCCTTTCCCAATTTGGAACCAATCTGTTGTTCCATGTCCAGTTATAACTGTTGCTTCTTAACCTGCATACAGATTTCTCAAGAGGCAGGTCAGGTGGTCTGGTATTCCCAACTCTTGAAGAATTTCCCACAGTTTGTGGTGATCTACACAGTCAAAGGCTTTGGCGTAGTCAATAAAACAGAAGTAGGTGTTTTTCTGGAACTCTCTAGCTTTTTCAGTGATCCAACAGATGTTGGCAATTTGATCTCTGGTTCCTCTGCCTTTTCTAAATCCAGCTTGAACACCTGGAAGTTCACGGTTCACGTACTGTTGAAGCCTGGCTTGCAGAATTTTGAGCATTATTTTACTAGCGTGTGAGATGAGTGCAATCGTGTGGTTAGTTTGAACATTCTTTGGCATTGCCTTTCTTTGGGACTGGAATGAAAACTGACCTTTTCCAGTCCTGTGGCCACAGCTGAGTTTTCCAAATTTGCTGACATATTGAGTGCAGCTCTTTCATGGCATCAGTTTTTAGGATTTGAAATAGCTCAACTGGAATTCCATCACCTCCACTAGCTTTGTTCATAGTGATGCTTCCTAAGGCCCACTTCACTTAGCACTCCAGGATGTCTCCCCAAGCACAAGAAGGAGGCCCTCTGCAGAGGATCCTCACCTCAGTCATCACCTTCCACTGGAAACTGAGTCAGAGGCCTCCGCTCTGGGGTAGAGGGCAGGGGCTTCAGAGACTCCCTGCCAGGCTAGGAGGTGGCCCCCCGCTGGGGTGAGTGCAGGGCTGTGCTCTCAGAGGGTCTTAAGGAAGGAGCTGAGGGAACGAATGAAATCAGTACCCACCAGGAAAGGGTGGCAGGAGTAACCTGCACACTCAGGGGGCAGTCATGGGAACCAAACCCTCGTGAACCCGACCCTCCCCTGCCAGACACACACACACACACACACACACACACACACACACACACCCCTCAGCGACTTTAGCCGGGACACACACACACACACCCCTCAGCGACTTTAGCCAGGACACACACACACACACACCCCTCAGCGACTTTAGCCAGGACACACACACACACACCCCTCAGCGACTTTAGCCGGGACACACACACACACACCCCTCAGCGACTTTAGCCGGGACACACACACACACACACACACACACCCCTCAGCGACTTTAGCCGGGACACACACACACACACCCCTCAGCGACTTTAGCCGGGACACACACACACACACACACCCCTCAGCGACTTTAGCCGGGACACACACACACACACACACCCCTCAGCGACTTTAGCCGGGACACACACACACACACACACCCCTCAGCGACTTTAGCCGGGACACACACACACACACACACACACACACACCTCAGCGACTTTAGCCGGGGAGATCTTCCCTTCGTAGGGACATCCAAGCACACAGGAGACGTACCTGTGGGAAAACAGGAAGGAATGGTGTCAGTGCGCCTGGGCCCTCTGGCTAACAGGGCTGGGGCAGGCTGGCTGTTTGACACATCGCCCTGGTGAGCCCCACCCAAATCTGAGGCCGGCAGGAGGCCGAGGGGCAAAGGCCGATTCCATGCTGGTGAGCCAGACAGTGGGCCAAACAAAGGCAGTGCCGCTCAGCGCCAGGAGTGGGCAGCGCTGTGCCATGCAGGGAAGGGAAGAAGCCAACAGGCCTGCGGGTGAGGAGGCTGATGATGCCCGGGTCTCAGAGACCAGCCGCGGGGAAGGAGAAGCTACAGCAGCCAGCTGACCGCACAGGGTGAGGAGAGCAGAACGTGGGCCCCGGTGGGGCTCCTCTCAGGAGAGGACCAAGAGTGGATGAAACCGGAGCGGGCACAAGAAAGCTGGGCCGGCCTGAGGCCCAAGGGATCTGCGGTTCCGGTGAGCTGCCAGGGGGCGCGTACACGCGTTTATTCAGCTGGTGTTTACTGAGCTGCCCACGGTGCGCCAGGCGCTGGAGAAGTGCAGAAGGCAGAGAAGGTCCCCACCACCCCAGAGCTTAAGGTTTCAAGTGAGGGAGACAGATGATAAATCAGGGCTCTAGTAGGGGAAGGAGGTAATCTCAGAAAGTGATGTGCTGTGAAGGAGAGACAATGGAAGTGTGGCAGGAGCACCCAGAGAGGCCGACAGCAGTGAGGACGGCCTGGGAGACCTCTGTGAGGATGCGGCACTGGAGCTGAGATGGGGGAAGAGGACTGTTCCAGGCAAAGAACCAAGGCAGAGGCCCCGGGATGGAAACGCTGTTTAGTCACTCAGTTGTGTCTGACTCTTTGCGACCCCATAGACTGTAGCCCGCGAGGCTCCTCTGTCCATGGGATTCTCCAGGCAAGAATAGTGGAGTGGGTTGTCACTTCCTTCTCCAGGGGATCTTCCCGACCCAGGGACTGAATCTGCAGCTCCTGCACTGGCAGGCAGATTCTTTACCGCTGACCCACCAGGGAAGTCCGATTTAAGAGTAGGTGTGTTCAAAACAGACAACAACGGACAGGAAAACTGAGAGTGGGGAGCCAGGGGCAGAGAGGTGCAGCAGGGGGTTGGCGAGGAGGCCACCGGCCTGAGCACAGGGTCTTGTTGAGCTGTGGTGAGGAGTCTGGATCTTGAGTGTAGACAGATTCTGAGCCCACTCATCCCACTGAGGCAGAGGCCCCATTAAAATCTTTTAGAGTCTAACAAAAGATGCTGCATATTAAGAGGCAGAATGTTTGCTGGATAAATAATTTCAGACTCAAACAACTCAGTGTATTTTGCCATCTTCATTCTCCTTACCCTCCAATCACTGCTGAGCATGGAAAAGCTACAAGAACTGCTGAGGAAAGAGCACAGACTTGGGAGTCAGGCAGACCTGACACGTCCTTGCTTTCCCAACCATCCATCCACCCATCGGTTTCTGAGCACCTACTATGTGCTAGGCCCAGAGCTGGGAGATAGCACACGCCAGGGACTGACGGAGATGTGGGCTCTGCCTTCATATAGCACAGAGTCCAGTGGGAGGCGGGAGGCAGCGGAGAATGTAGCAAGTGGGTAAGTGCTAGGTCAGAGGATGTCCAGGGGACTCTGGAAGCCCAGAGGAGGGGGCACCATCTCCACCTGAGGGAAGAGAAGCAAGCTCTTGAAGAAACTGGTAGCAGGAGAGGACCTGAAGATGAGCAGGAGTAAGCCCTGGCAAGTAGGATGTAGAAGGAGGGTGGTCTGAGTCTACAGAAAGCACATGCAAAGCCCCAGGGGCAGGAGAGAACTGGCCCATGTGACAAACAGAAAGAAGTTCCCACTGGCTGAATGCAGTGTGCAGAGGAAACGGGGCCGGAGGGGAGACGTGAGCTGCAGAGAACTGCATAGGGGCCTGTAAACCGGCTGAAAACTCTGCAGTTGACAGGCACTGACAGACTTTCAACCGGGCAGTGATGTGATTGGATGCACATTCTGGCTGCAGTTAGTTGTGCCCTTACAGCAGACTCTTCATCCTTCTGGAGCCTCAGTTTCGTTGTCTGGAAGCGGGGAGAGTGCCCTCTGCGCTGGGTGACTGAGACGCTACCATCAGGTAATACCTGGACAATGCCTGGCGCTACTGCCATTAAAGATGTGATGCTGGAGATACCTCAGAGGCTGAGGGGATTCCTCAGGGATGTGTGACGAGCTGGTGGTGGAGCCAGGGTTACGCTGACCTCCACAAGCCCTGTTTAGGACCCTGTCCTGCTAGATTCGTGGGGTGAAAGGATTCAAAAATCAGGTTTGGAGAAAGCACTTGCCAGGATTTCTTCTGACCCCGTTTACTTGGGAAAAAGACATCTGGGTGTAGAGCTCTGGCTCCCTGCACCCAGGATAAGGAGCCTGTGAGGGAGGTTGCTGGAGTCAGAGGCTGGCCCTGTTCCAGAATGCTCTGAGGAAAGGAGAGGCAGCGCCAGTGTGGCCAGACTCACCCCCGCACAGAGATACTGGCTGCCCGAGCTGCCTTCAAGATTTCGTCAAACCGCTGCAAACTCTCATCTATGGAGCAGTTGATGTTCTTCTTGGTGAAGAGCTCAGAGGCGGCTCCAAAGATGGCCACTTCCTTGGCTCCAGCAGCAACCTGCCAACAGCCAGGTGAATTCCTTTCAGCATTTTTCTCTTGAAGAAAGACCCACCCAGAGTGAATTTTATGATATATGAGTACTACTGTAAGTTGAATTGTGTCCCTCTAACCCCCAGTACTATCCTGGGAAAGGTCAATCCTCAACCCAACTCCCAAAAAGGGTAGTACTAAAAGAATGTGTTAACCACTGGACAACTGCACTCATTTCCCATGTGAGGAAGGTCATGCTTAAAGTCTTAAGATAGGCGGGAGAAACATCAATAACCTCAGATATGCGGATGATACCACTCTAATGACAGAAAGCAAAAAGGAACTAAAGAGCCTCTTGATGAGCATGAAGGCGAGTGAAAGAGCCAGTCTAAAACTAAATTAAAAAAAATTAAGATCATGGCATCCAGCCCCATTACTGCATGGCAAATAGAAGGGGAAAGGTGGAAGTAGTGACAGGTTTCCTCTTCTGGGGGTCTAAAATCACTGCGGAGAGTGACTGCAGCCATGAAATCAGAAGACGACTGCTTCTTGGTAGGAAAGCTATGACAGACCTAGACAGTGTGTTCAAAGCAGAGACATTATTCTGTCAACAGAGGTCCGTATAGCCAAGGCTATGGTCTTCCCAGTGGTCATGTACAGTTGTGAGAGCTGAACTGAAAAGAAGGCAGAGCGCCAAAGAATTGCTGCATTCAAACTGTGGTGCTGGAGAAGACTCCTGAAAGTCCCTTGAACAGCAAGGAGATCAAACCAGTCAATGTTAAGGGAGATCAACCCTGAATATTCACTGGAAGGACTGATGCGGAAGCTGAAGCTCTAGGATTTTGGTCATTTGATGCGAACAGTGGACTCATTGGGAAAGTCCCTGATGCTGGGAAAGACTGAGGGCAGAAGGAGAAGAGGGTGTCAGAGGATGAGATGGCTGGACGGCATCACTGGTGCAATGGACATGAACTTGCACAAACTTCAGGAGATGGTGATGGACAGGGAGGCCTGGTGTGCTGCAGTCCATGGGGTCACAAAGAGTCGGACATGACTGGGTGACTAAACAACAGCAACCCCCCAGAACCTCAGAATGTGACCCTGTCTGACAGTAGGATCACTGCAGATAGATGCTCAGAGTTAAGATGAAGTCACACTGGTCTCCACTCCATAACAAGAAGGCGCCTGTGTAAAGACAGAGGAAAGGCCGGCAAAGGTAGTGGCGGATACTGAAGTGATGTGCCCACAGGCTGAGGAACAGAGGACTGCTCATCATCACCAGAAACTAGCAGAGAGGCAGGGAAAGATGCCCTCTCAGGGCCCTCGGAAGGAACCTACCGCCACCTCATGTGGACTTCCGGCCTGCTGATTGAGAGACAGAACGTTTCTGTTCTCTTTCACCTCTTTTACCGAGTTTTTGGTATTGTGTAATGGCAGCCGTAGGAAATTAATACAGTGAATCATATCCCCAAAACAAAGAAACCTTGGCCTTCCCCCAAGGACCAACACTGCTGCTGCCGGCGCCACCCTGGAAGTCACTTTTGGCCTAAATTCAGAATCAACATCTCCAAAAAAATTCTCATCTGAAATGATAAAAAAAGTTGGTAGATACTAGAAACTACCTCTAAATCTTGTGGTCAGCTTGCTTACCTCTAAAGAGATGGACTACAGGAACAAGAGTGAACATTTATTAAGCACTCACCTTCTACCAGGCTCTTGCTAAGCAATTTATGTGCATCCTGTCCTCTGAAATTCTCACAATGGTTAGTGGTACTACCATTAACCTTATTTCATGGGCAGAACCTGAGGCTCAAAGAGGTTTAGCAGCTTGTCAAACCAGAGAGCTGAGAGTGGCGGGGCCAGGACTGCCCCCGGGTCTGACGGTGCCCTCCACCACTGGAGACAAGTCGTTCAGACAGAATCCTGGACAAAGATTGAGGCCCAGGGACAAGATAGGGGCCCAGGCCATCCATCTCATTTTGGGGGCACTCCCCAACCAAAAATGAGTCTCTTACCGCTGCCTGGAAGCCTTTGAAGTTTGGGGTCAGGACTGGGTAGTTGATGCCAGGAAATTTCTGGATGCCTTTCAAGACTTCAGCATGGTCAGCCATCTGGGAGCCAAAGGAGACATCACCAACTGACCACCAAGGCAGCAGAGAGCTCGGGTAGAGGAAGCCTTTTTAACACAGAAGCTCTGTTCTCCAGGACCCTTGGAGAAAAGAGGCCTTTTGCAGAGCTGAGTCTCCCCAAGGCTTTCACTACTTGTTTGACAGCTGATGAGCCAGAAGGCTCCCTGGCACGGGTGAGAACCCCAGTTTCTCCATGGGGCTAACACTGTCGACTCTACATGAGCAGCACCAGCGGCGATGATACTTCCAGCCGCTCGTTGAGAACATGCTCCAAGCCCGGCCCTGGGCTCAGCTCTCTATCACCTAACACTCAGCTGGACCAGGATCTTTCTTCCCACTTGACTGTCTCTGTGATGCAGGAGTTGCCCGTCTTCCCCTTTCGACAAACACAGAAGCCACATCTTTAGACGGGCCTAGAGATTCTAGACTTGTAGAGTCAGAGACGTCACCTTGAACCTGGGCTTCACCTTGCCTCACCAGGCAAGGCAGGGCACAGCCAAGACCAAGTCGTCCTCCCAAGTCGCCCTCCTTTGCTGCACATGTTACATGAAGCACTGAGAGCTCGCAAAAGCGGAGACCTGGAAACCTACATCCCTGACCTCCACTTACTTCCAATGCATCTGAGATAGGCCTGCAGGCTGGGGCTCACCTGGGGAACCCATTTGGGAGATACGAAGCTGGTGGCTTCTACGACAGGGAGTCCTGCTTCAGAAAGCATGTCTATTAGCTTGATTTTCACTGGAGTAGGTACAATATTCTGTAATGCAGAGAGAAAACACCAGAAAAAGATAGGCTGGCCCATTCAGTCATGAAATGGTCTCAGAATGCAGTCGGTTCAAAGCTTTTTCTACAGCACCCCTCACTATCTCAACCTTCAGACACTAACCTGAATTCACATGTAATCCTGCCAATAGGTGCAGTACAGGCTTGTCTTCCAGTTCTAGAGATAGCATTTTGCAGTGGATGCAGTTTCTCACTTGAAAAGGAGTTAATACTTACAATGGAAACAATATTTGCCTGTAATATGGGCTTTTAAACTAAAGCTTTGTTACTTTATGACCCCAGCAAAAACAAATTGAGACCAATGAGCCATGGCCTGAAAGGGCAGAGATGACTAACTCTCTGGGTCCTATGAGATGTGGCCTCCAACAGGCCACAGCTGCCTCCTTCCATCTCTCAGCTGCCACAGGGTTTCATCCTCCCGTGCGCCACTGCTTCCCTTCCCTCCCACGCCATGTCTAGCTGCTCACCAGACTCTCTGGATTTCTATTTCCAAATCTTCCATCATTATCCCATGTAGATTATGCCACGGTCTTCCTCTACCAATTCATCCCACACAGGAATCCTTCTAAAACACAGTCTCCATTATCTCACTCTCCTGCTCAAAAGCTTCCCCTGGCTGCCTAGTACTTACAAGATTGGGTCCAAAATCTTAAAACCCCCAAGTCCTTCTCACCAGGTCCCTCCACCCCCAATTTCTCTCCCGCTGCTTTAATTTAATCCATTCCACAAGTAACTTTTGAGAGTTCACCCTGTTCCAAGGAATGTGCTAGGAGCTACAGATACAGTGGTGAGTAGAACAGACACAATCCTGCCCTCAGAGAGCTTACAACTTACTTTTACAACCAACATGCACTATTAAAGGTAGGCTAAGCATGCTTTAAAGTTTTTTAAGGTTTTTTTTTAATTAAAAAATAATTAACACATGATTATTTCAGAAAAACACGCCAAAAATAAAAGAAAACCACCCTAACACCTGCCAGAGATAACACTCTTAATACCCTGTATATGTAACTTTTGAGATCTGTGCAGTCCAGTACATTAGACATGAGCCATATGTGGTTATTTAAATGTAAACTAACTGAACTACATTTTAAAAATTCAGTTCCCCAGCCATACAAGCCACAATTCAAGTGCTTAACAACCACATATATCTAGTGGCTACTGTATGGAACAGCTCAAGTCTACAACATTTCCATCCTCATAGAAAGTTCTATCACACAGCACTGTTCTAAGATCCTTTTCTCGGAAGATGCTTCCACACATACACAAGCTTTTTTGTTTATATATAAGATTAAATGTACATTAATATATATTAATGTATATTAATATATATATTATATATATACACACACTGTATTTTATAATCTGCTTATATCACTTAATATACTCCTGTATCATTAACAGCTTCACAGTATTCCATTTTATGAAGTCATTAATGTATTTGATCTAATTTTCCTCGTACTGAACACATTGGTTATTTGCAACTCTCCTGCTGTTACACCAGGGTTGTAATGGACATCCCCAAGTTAAATCTTTGCATGTGACCTTCATAACTTCCTTTGGACAAATCCCCTGATGTGTCATTGCTGGATCAGGCACGCCCTCACCTTTCCTCCACACTCCTGCGGCACTTACCATCCACCCCGCCCCACAGGGCCTTGAGGTGGACCCAGGGTCACAACACTTGGGGCTGAACAGTCGCAGGTGCCTGCCTGGCCTCCCTGACGGGCCCAAAGTCGGGTACAGCTCTGTACCCACGACATGGAACTCTCAATACCTGTAAAAACTCTTTTGGTTGATTTCCATCTTTACCTTTTCATTTTGTAGTCCGTCTCGAGGACCAACTTCCACAATTTTCACTCGCTTTGGGAAAGTACCCACAGATGAGGTGCTGACCTTTGGTTTAAAAGAGGAAACAAAAGTAACAGGAAGAGACTGTCACAATTCTCCAGGTGGACAAATCAGAAAGAATGTATCCATCCTCTCATTAATACTGAGACTAGAAGCAATATTTCTCAACCTTTAATCCATATTTGCTCTGTTTTAGAATCAAGAACAAAAAGAATATTTCACTTAGGAACAGAGTAAGAGATTCATGCTCCCCGTACAGGACCATTTCCAACCACTTGACAGCTGAGCATTTGGATTGTTCTTTAAACAAAACTATTTGTACCTCTCAAACTTAGAAGTCCCCAAACAGAACTGTCTGATTTCTCCTAAAGCCCAGTTTGACTTGAACCTTCCCAGGTGGTGCTGAACCCTCCCAGTGGTAAAGAACCCTGCCAGTGCTAGAGACCCAAAAGACGTGGGTTCGATCCCTAGGTCAGGAAAATCTGCTGGAGAAGGAAATGGCAACCCCCTCCAGTATTCTTGCCTGGAGAATCCCATGGACAGAGGAGCCTGGTGAGCTACAGTCCATGGCGTCGCACAGAGTCGGCCATGACTGAAGTGACTTAGTGCACACACCTGGGGCATAGCTGCCCCAGAGGAGGACAATTACTAAGTGTGGAGAGAAGTAGTCTTGGCCTTTGTGGGCTGGCAGGCATGGAAGAGGCTCCGTTCTATTATGATCGCAGGGTGGGTGGTGACAAGGGGAGTGAGTCTGAGAGAAGAAACCTTCAGCAGTTAAAGATATTAAAAAAACGGCCTGGAGTCTCCTCTGTATAAAGTCTGCCCTATATAAAGTCTTCTATAGAAAATATTCCCCTCCTCACCACCAAGTATTACGAGGTTTTTTCCTCCCTTTCCTCTGTTGTTCTTAGTACTACTTATTACTGTTTAAATTAATTTCATTTCACCAGATTTAATCTGGATAAACATACTGCAGTAGTGCAAGGGGACGGGGTACTGGCAATCTACTTGGTGGTGGTGGTTTAGTCGCTAAGTTGTGTCTGAACTCTTGCGACCCCATGGACTGTAGCCCGCCTGGCTTCTCAGTCCATGGGACCCTTCAGCCAAGAGTACTGGAGTGGGTTGCCATTTCCTTCTCCAGAGCATCTTCCTGACCCAGGAATTGAACACAGGTCTCCTGCATTGCGGGCAGATTCTTTACTGAATGAGCTATGAGGGAATACTCTAGCAATCTGCTAAGGATCCCCATTCCCGAAACCCTTAAGAAAGGAAATATTCCTGGCTATCAATCAGCCGGAACTTAACTTGCCCAAACTGGCCTTGGTTTCAGCCAGCAAAGCTTCCTAGAGACTAAGGTGACTAGCCACTGAATTTCATGAAGTCAACAGGCTAGGCTGGAAGGTCCCTGCAAACTGAATCTCCCTCCAGTAGGGATGTTCAGCCTCTGCTGGTACACTACCCTAAAAGGATCCCAATGGAATGTAAGCTCCAAGAGGCAGGAACTCTGTTTTATTAATTGTTATATTTCCCTGAGGCCCTGAGACCTAACAGGGACTCAATAAATAACTGATAAATGTTGTTGAAAGAATGTTAAGCTTGTTTCAAGTTCATTTTATGAGAACAGAATCAACTTGATTCTATAACACACTTCATCGTAAGAACTCTTCATATACTAACAACAAAACAATTCACATTTATGAAGCGTTTACTATTTTTTAGGCACATAAAAGAGCCTTTTACATATTAACCCACATCATCCTCTCAACACCTTATTAGGTAGGAACTATTAAAGTCCCCATTTTACTATGAGAGATATGAAGTTCAAGAAGATTAAGTAATTTTCCCAAGGTCACATGGTTAGCTAGTTACTGAGCCCATATCTGAACCCAGCAGTGTGGATCTAGAGTGCACACTCTTAACCCCTAGGCCACATTATCTCTGCCACCCTGGTCCCCCCAGTTTTCTCTTGCCTGGGTTAAGTGTTAGTTGTTCAGTCATGTCCGACTCTTTGTGACCCCATGGACTGTAGCCTACCAGGCTCCTCTGTCCATGGAATTCTCCAGGCAAGAATAGTGGAGTGGGTTGCTCTCCAGGAGATCTTCCCGACACAGGAACCAAACCCAGGTCTTCCACATTGCAGGCAGATTTTTTACAGTTTGAGCTACCCTGGGTTGCCTGGGTTAAACATCTAGTTAATTCCCTTTGTACAGTTCTGCATAGAAATAATCCCCTCTAACCACACAAATCCTGAGCCACAGCCTCCTGAGCTATGGTACCTATATCAACAGATAATACTGACTAAAGTCCAGTGCTAAGTTACAGCCATCAGCACCTCATTTAGTCCCTATATGATGGGGGACTATCATATATCACTCTCCCAACTCCACAGAGGAAGAAATGACCTCAGAAAGACCCCAAATCACACAGCTAGGAAGTGAGGAAGTTTGGACTTAACTGTCCGGTTCTGACATCAAATCTATGCTAGTAACCCCATGGAATGCCTATCACTACCATCTCATTATAATAGGAATTTTTTCAAAGAACACTGACATTCACCATCTCATTTAATTTTCTTAACTTCTCAAGTTGGGCTTCACGGATTTATTTGTAATGAGCGATTGGTGGGGGAGGGTGGTCTAGTAGACACTTAAGTGGCTTTTTGAGAGCCCCCTACCCGCTTCCCCACTGCCAAGACAATTTAATTTTTACCACTACACAGTTTTAACTCCTTCTAAACTCTAAGGCAACAAGTGACCTATCACTTACTAAAAGCTAGAAGAATGTCAAATGCTTTAGTTCCATTTTCCTTAACCTCCAAACCAACCCTGAGGATTTTTTTTTTTTCATGTTAAAGGTCAATATTACTGGAATTTAGAGATTTGTCATTCAACCTAAAAAGTAGCGTCAGAACCCCTGGGGCATCACAGCTTGAGCCTTAATCAACACAATGTATTCAACTCTTTACCCAATTAGGTCTCCAACACTTTCCCTCCACTAACTGAGCTTGGGAGAGAAGGGGGAACATCAGCATTGAACTGGCCCAAAGTACAATTCCAAGATCACATCCAGCAACACGCGATCCAAGTCCTGCTCGGCTTGCTGGAACAGCTCCCCAGGCGTCCCCAAACGGAGACGGACAGAGGGGGATGGCCTGACTTTTTCCACTCGAGCTGGCAGGGTATTCTTGAGTATTCATGCCCTTCATTAAGGAGGAACTTGAAGAAGTCTGAAGCTCTATGATAGAGAGAAAGATGCCAGGGTCACCAAGAAGAACCCTAGCCAGGGAAGCAGGACGCCTGGGATGGCGTTCCAAGTCTCCACGACCCGGGAGAGTAGCTCCCCATCTCTGGGCGTTAGTTTCCCATGCCTTTCAAGGGATCTGGGCGGGTCAGAGAGTGGAGTGTCCAAAACTTCAAAGCCTCCCAACTCCGGCCTAAAGAGCCGTCCAGCTTCGCCTCTCGGAGAAATGGTATTGATTTTTTTTTTTTTTAATCTTTTGGTTGCGCAGAACCGCCCGTGGGATCTCAGTTCCCCTACCAGGGATCAAACCCCTGCACCCTGCATTGGCAGCGCAGTCTTAACCCGCTAGACCACCAGGGAAGTCCCAGGCTCTGGCTCTCCGGGAGCAGCCGCTAGGGGCCAAGTCCTAGACCCTGACCCTCATGGTGTCGTCAAGACGCCCCTGGGCGTGCCGGGGCACTTACAGCCCGGAGGGTCGCCAAGCCCACCAGCCTCCGCGGGAGCGCCTTCCTCACTGTCGCCATCTCCGCCCAGCTTCCACTGCGGCCGCTTCAGCGGAGTCCCACGTGACCACTGACGGCCCGGCGGGAATGGCCCCGCCCACGGGGCGGGGCCTCTGGAGCTCCGTGGTGACGCCGTGTGCTGGCCCCGCCCCCAGCCTGTCCCCGTTTTCTGTTCCTTCTCGGCAGTTTCCTTAGCCGTCATTTCTGAGCGCCTTTTGGGCGCGAGGGAGAAGTGAAGACTCTATAAAGATGAACAAAAATTAACCACAATCTCTGACTTAATGAGTTTTTGTAATCTGGGAGGTGTGGAAAGACAGATGTGAACAATCACACGCACAGCTGTAGAATTACCTTCTGCAATAATGAGACCAAGCATTACTATTTTGCCACGCGCTGTTCTGAGTTATTTGCATGTATTAACTCATTCATCATGATCTTAAGGACTTAAATGCAGGCGGGCGCAGGCGGTCGACTCCGGAGAGAGAAGCATTCTTTGATTACATACCTTGAAGAATAAATAAACTTTACCTAGGTAAAGCGGATACAGGAAAAGCTTTTCAGACAGAGCACGGTGTATGCAAAGGCCCCGAGGCAAAGAAATTGAATGCTTATGAGCGGTGTTTTTCAAAATAATATCAATTTGTTGGGTACTTTTTAAAAGAAACAGAAAATATCAGTGCCTTGTATAGCAGGAAAGCTAAGTAATGCTTTACAAAGTTTCTGTTTGTTATTACAAAACAAACTGGGTTGCACTGTAAAATACATTTCTTACTGTACGCTGCAATTAGAAATGTTTGAAAACATTGTTTTAGAAGGATGAAAGAAGGCCAGAATGACTAGAGAGCAGGCAGAGAGAAGAGTCTTCTTAACTCAGATGGGAGATATTGGCAGGGACTATACCACAGGGCTTTGGCGAACTCCTTAGTAACAGCTATCTTAATAGCAACGCATTGGAAGGATTTTAAGCAGGAAGATACACATTGTGCAAACAGGCACTGAGGCTACTGGGTGGGTAAGTACGTTCACTGACTGGCATTCTTGGGAGAGGCGGGGAAGTCACTCTCCTTGTTTTCAAGGGACTCAGATTTCAGCTAGGAGAAAACAAGACATGGTAAGTGTTTTGTTATGCTTCCACAGCCCCCCAAGTTTCCTCCATCATAGCAGTTAGAGAACTGACTGAATCCTCAAGCCTGCAGCTAGAGGGCTGAAAGTGAAAAGTGTTAGTCACTCAGTCCTGTCTGAGTCTTTTCAACCCCAAGGACTGTAGCCTGCCAGGCTCTTCTATCCATGGAATTCTCCAGTCAAGAATCCATTTCCTTCTCCAGGGGATCTTCCCCACCCAGGGATCAAACCTGGGTCTCCTGCATTGCAGGCAGATTCTTTACTGTCTGAGACCCCAAAGTACTAGATGGCATTTAAGATAAATATGAATTTCAAGACCTGTACACTGGAAACTACAAACCATTGCTGAAATTGAAGAAGACATAAATAAATGAAAAGATATCTGTGTTCATGAATTGGAAGATTTAATATTGTTAAGGTGTTAATACTACCCAAAGGTGATCCACAGATTCACTGCAATCCCTATTTAAATCCCAGTGATGATTTTGGCAGATATAGAAAAGAAAAATCCTACAATTCATAATCTCCTTGGACAGCAAGGAGATCAAACCAGTCCATCCTAAAGGAAATTAATTAACACTGAATATTCATTGGAAGGACTAATGCTGAAGCTGAAGCTCCAATACTTCAGCTATCTGATGGGAAGAGCTGATTCATTGGAAAAGATCATGATGCTGGGAAAGATTGAGGGCAGAAGGAGAAGGGGACGACAGAGGATGAGATGGTTGGATGGCATTATTGATTTATTAGAATAAGTTTGCACAAACTCTGGGAGACAGTGAAGGACAGGGAAGCCTGGCGTGTTGTAGTCCATGGGGTTGCAAAGAATCAGACACGACTGAGAGACTGAAAAACAATAACAACAATTCATAAGGAATCTCAAGGACCCAGAATAATCCACATGTTCTTTAAAAGAAGAACTAAGTTGAAAGGCTAACAATTCCTGATTTCAAAACTTAATGTACTAATTAAAACAATGTGGTACTGGCATAAATGAGGACATACAGACCAATGGAAGGGGTTAGAAAGCTCAGAAATTAGCCCTTGCATATATGATCAAAAATTTTCAACAAGAATGCCAAAACCATTCAATGGGGAAAAAAGAGTCTTTTCAACAAATTGTGCTAAGAAGGTTGGATAACCACATGCAAAAAAATGAAGTTGAATTCTTTCCTGATGCCATATACAGAAATTAACTCAAAATGGATGAGTTAATTTAATGGACTCTAACTGGCTATTCACTGTGGAGTACATAATACCAGGCACATGGTTAGCATTAAATATTTACCCTAAGAGTAATACTAGCAAATGTATGAGAATCTGTCTAGGGTCACTAGATTCCTGCAGTTGGAATCATTTTATTTTTTATCACTTCTTGAATTTTTATAAATTTTTTTGGAGTATAGTTGATTTACAATGTTGTGTTAGTTTCAAGTACACAGCAAAGTGAATCCGTAATATAGACACATCTACCAGCTCTTTTTTTAGATTCTTATCCCATGTAGGTCATTACAGAGTATTGAGTCCCCTGTACTATACGGTAGGTACTTATTATCTATTTTATATAGTAGTTTATATATAGTAGTTTTATATAGTAGTATCTATAGTAGTTTCTATAGATTCCTTATCTATGGTACATAAGCCACAAGGCAATACCATGCTGCACTGTCAAATCTCTTATGGATTTTGTACTATTAAGCAATATTTCAAAAAGCCTCATTTCAACCAGGGTTCTAGAAGGAGTGTTTGTGGGAAGTGAGTGAGAAAGAATCTTATTTTAATTCAAGATGTAAGAAAAAGAAAAACTGGAAAACTCTAAGTAGAATGAAGGACAAAATAGAAGGTAGAAATTTGAATGACATAGGAAAAATATTACAATTGAAAGAGGATCATCCAATTAAAAAAACAAGAAAAGAAACCTGGCTCTTTGAGACCAATAAAACTGACAACATTATGTGACCACGTTGGTCACACAACAAAAAGCATGAATAAAGCAAGAGGACAGAATTAAAGACATTGCATTGTGTAATGTACAAGTTTATGGACAATAAATCTGAAAACTTTGTTGAAATGGATTCCCTAGACTATTATAGCTTTAAAAAGTAGATTGAAAATAAAAGAATCTTTACATCCACTAGGATGGCTGTCATAAAATGGACATAATAAATGTTGGCAGAGATGTGGAGAAATTGAAACCTTCATTACATGACTAGTGGCAATGTATTATAAAAGGTGCAGCTTCTATGGAAGACAGTTTGGCAGTTCCTCAAAAGTAAAACATAAAACTAACATATGATCCAGCAATTCCAATCTTAGGTCTATACCCAAGCGAATTGAAAAGTAGGAACTCAAAGAGAAAACTTGTTCATCAATGTTCTTAGCAAAGTTATTTACAATATTCTGAAGGTGTAAACAATTCAAATGTCCATCAACTGATGGATGAATAGGACCTCCCTGGTGGTCCAGTGATTAAGAGTCTACCTGCCAATGCAGGTTCGATCCCTGGTCTGGGAAGATTCCAAATGCTGCGGGGCGAGTAAGTCAGTGCACCACGACTACTGAAGGCCACGGGCACTGGAGCCTGTGCTCCTCAACAAGAGAAACCACCACCATGAGAAGTCCACACATTGCAGCTAGAGAGTAGCCCCCACTTGCTGCAACTGGAGAAAGCCTGCGCACAGCAACAAAGACCCAGTGCAGCCAGACATAAATAAACAAAAACTGATGGATAAAGATATGTGGTATATACGTATAATAGAATGTTGTGTGTGCTGAATGAGTGCTCAGTAGCTTCAGCCGTGTCTCACTCTTTGCAACCCTGTGGACTGTAGACTGCCAGGTTCCCCTCTCCATGGGATTCTCCAGAAAAGAATACCAGAGTGGGTTACCATGCCCTCCTCCAGGGGACCTTCCCAATCCAGGGATCAAACTGCCTCTCTTTCATCTCCAGCATTGGCAGGCGGGTTCTTTACCACTGAGCCACCTGGGAAACCCTAATAAAATGTTCTCTCCACTCTGCTTAGTTGCTCAGTCATGTCCGACTTTTTGAGGCCCCATGGGCTGTAGCCTGCCAGGCTCCTCTCTCCATGGAGATTTTCCAGGCAAGAATATTGGATTGAGTTGCCATGCCCTCCTCCGGAGGATCTTCCTAACCCAGGGATTGAACCCAGGTCTCCCATATTGCAGGCGGATTCTTTACAGTCTAGGTTATTCAAACTTAAAAAGGAATAAAATTTTGATACATGCTACAACATGGATAAATCTTGTAAATATTATGCTAAGTGAAACAAATCAGACACCAAAGGACAAATATTGTATGCTTCCACTTATATAAGATATTTATTGTTTTTGGTTGTGCAGCATGTGGGATCTTAGTTCCTTGACCAGCTGCACCACACGTCCCTTGGTGGCCACCATGCAGGATTACCTACCATCAGAATATTCCCAGCCCATTAACAGGCTACGGGAGTCACTTTCATCAGCTTTCTAAGATAAACACAGTGAAAAAATAATTTGTCAGTTTAGGACTAGATGGCAGATGGGAGGAACTGGCCTCCCAAAGGAACTGGCCTCTAGACATACCTTGGGCCACAGTCTTGTAAGGGGTTCAATTCATTCTTCGCTGCAAACTGTCCTGGCCTGGTAATCTCAGCACTGAATTATTTGAGATTGAAGACAGACCCAAGGAGTTCAACTTACTCCTCTCCACTGAGAAAGATCCTCCATAGTGGATTTATTAAGGACATCTGACACAATCTGGAAGGTTTAAGAGTTGGGAACACACCTTGAGCCTCCATTTTGTAAGGGGGTCCATCCACACGACTGCAAAGCAAACCATCCTGCCTGTGACACTCCCCTGAGCTCTTCCATTAAAGGAAACAGCATACCTCAGATCTCTA